GGTAATTACCACAGCTGCCTGCAGGTGTTTTTTGTTTTTAAACAAAACCAGAGTTCAGAGCTCCGGAGATGACTCTTTCCTTCCCAGGGGCTCTCCAGCGTTTCCAAGCTGAAAGCTCTGTGTGCATTGTGCCAGCGCCTGAAGAATGAATGAGTCTCCTATCCCTTGTCTTATTGCCGGCCTCTGCCCTCCTCCCCCTGTAATTTTCCCTTTCCACCCTCTTTGCCTAAGATGACCACCATGAAATTTGCTAATGAACTAGGCTGTCAAGGTGGGCTTTGCCTTGGAAGTAGTTTCAAGGAACTATGTGGTCTCTGCTTGGATATTTCTAGAGACAGAAAGACTATCACTTACCAGGGCTGAATAAGACCATCTGAATAGCCAAAATTTCTTCCTTGGAATGAACCCAGGCCTTCCAGTTATCTGTTCCTCTTCATTCCTAGCTCCATAGATAAGTCTCCTTTCTTTACATGACAGCTGTTGGAAATCAGCTTGCTTCAAATTCCCCACCCAACTCTCTAGGCTAAATATGACAAGTGTTTAGTACTTCACATGTTGACAAGGACCTCCCTATACCTCATCTCCACTTAATCAGCCCTACCTACTGCAACTGTTGTGCACATGATGTGACTTCCAGAAGCCTGCCATCCTGTTCTCTCCCCTCTGGGCCTGCTTTAAAGTGGTCCTGTGGCACCTAGTGCAACACCCAATCCAAAACAGGGCACGATTCTTAGGGCTGTGACAGGGGGTCTTGTTACAATTCTCTTATCTCCTTATTCAGGAACTCTGCATCAGACCCACTTTAGCCTAGTGGTTAATAGCATGGGCCCTGGACCAAGACCTGACCTGTATTTAAAACTCAGCTCCCAGAACTTACTAGCTGTGCAGTCTTGAGCGATTCAATTAACTCTTTTGTGTCTCTGTTTCTTCCCTGGGAAATGGGGATAACAATAGTACCTGCCTTAGCAAGTTGTCGTAAAGCCCATGGCCTGCCATGCACTATTAGAATTTTCAGCTGGAATATATGGAGAGTTTGTGGAGAGGAAGTGAGAGTAAGAATTTTTTAGGAAGTCTTTCCAAATATAGGTAGACCTCAGTATTGAAACTCACTATTTCAAAGCAGGGATGTACTCATTCCAGGTGTGAGGGATGCTTGTACAAGTCTGGATCCCACCTGCCCCAGATATCTCACTCATGACTATGGCAGCCCATCTCTGCCCTCTGAGGGTTCACAGTGATCTGGCTATCAGTGGGAAACCCCCCTCCAAACACACACACACACACACACACACACACACACACACACACATCCTGCAATGCTACTGCTAAATCAAGGTTCTCCTGCCCAACACATATACTTCTGGGCACATCTTTACCATCTTTATCCCAGCTTAAACTACCTACCACAGAGGGTTGTAGCAAGATTAAAGAATGTTTCTGAAATCTAATGGCAAAGAACAAGTGTTAGGCAAAAGTAAGTTTGCCTCCTACCTAGGATGTCAGCTGCTGATGCATGCAACCTTGGCAGCTATTTATTTTGTCCCTCAAGGTGCCTAGCACAAGGCTGTGCCTAGCACAGACTCCTAGATCTTGCTTACCAACCCATGATCAAGTTGAATGTGGCCTTGTTCGCTGAACTACTGACCCAGATCACTTCTTTAACTGAAGGCTCCGTATAGTTGAAATGGAGCCTATTAAATGCAAATATATTTCCCAGAAGAGGGAATGTCTATTAAATAAGTTCTTAGGGCCCATTAGCCTGCTGGGACTTGACCCCCTGGGATTCCAGCCAGGGTCTTCTGTTGGAAGAGAATGCCCAGAGGAAGGCAAGTCTACATGGGGCAGACTCTAGAACCCTAGAGTTGACCAGAGGGTGCAGATCTGAGGGGAAAGAAGGGTGGGACTGAAAAGGTTTGCTCCCTCTGTCCTAGAGCCTGTCACCTTTCTGTATCTCTCCCAGGTACCCTCTCTTCCCCCTAGGCCTCGGTGGGCAGCCCAGCTCCCTGGTTTGCTGGCTGCCTTTGAAGGCTCTGCGGTTAGTGTGCGAGCTAGGCTCGCTACCGGGGCTGAGCAAACAGGAAGCGGGCACATCCTGCGCGCCAGCCAAGGACGCGCCACCGCTGCGCAGGCCGGGAAGGTTCTGTGAGCTGCTTCCTCCCTTGCGTTTCCCGGCCTCCGGAGCACCAGGTGCCCTGAACCCATGTAGCCCTGTCCCGTATCCTAGACCGTGATGGGGCTACTCTCCCGTTCCTGATCATGCAGAGCCCCCAAAGGCCCCGTGAGCCGGTCCCTATGAGTCGGTTCCTATGTGGCTTCCAGGCGCTTCCTGGGCGACCTGGGTGGGTCTTTCAGAAGCGACCTGGGGCGCAAAACCTTTTTTATGAATCTGTTTAGCAAGCCGAATAGGCCAGAGCTAAAGGAAACAGAGTTCCAGCCTGGTGAAGAAGGACCTCGGTTTCCCTGAGCTCACCCCCAAAGGAGGGAAGATCCAGGGGCGCGGGGCAGGGTTGGGGGAGGAAGTTAGAAGAACATCTTGGGAAAGAACAGAGGCAGGCCAGCCAGGAATTCACATGTGCCACAGAATCGAAAGCCTTAAAAAGGTTCATCCTTTGAATTCTTTATGATGTTCCAAGAGGTTAGGGATCAAAGATGATGCATGTCACTTGGAAACAGGTCTTGAACCAGGGAGGAAGATGTCCCTGTATTACTATACTCCTCATTGAAGATGAATATTCAACTTCATGTTACTCCATGAGTTTATTTGCCTTTTGTTATCTTCTAAGTTGAATTGTTTTCTTTGAATGTTAAAAAAAAAATTAAAAGAGCTGGGGTTGTAGCTCAGTGGTAGAGTACTTGCCTTAGCACATGTGAAGAGCTGGATTCAATTCTTAGCACCACATAAAAATAAAGGCATTCTGTCCATCTACAACTACAATTTTTTTTAATCTTAAAAAGTGATACCTGTGCTCCAGCAATTCTCCTTCTGGACATTTATCCTATAAATAAAATTGTGGATGTGAATGAATATTTACCTTAAGGATGATCAACGAAAAGTTTTAAAAAAGTTAAACCAACCCAAGTTCATCAGTAGGAGCCTGGTAAAATAATCATGGTATATCCACACAATATGATGCTCAGCAGCTATTATAAATCACATAGTTGAAGAACATTTCATAGCATGAGAAAATATTATGTTCCACATGAAAAGCAATTATCAACACAGTTTATGTAGTCTTTTTTATTTAAAAACAGCTTTATAGAGGTATAATTGACTTTCAATAAACTGCACTTTTTTTTTGGTATGGTTGAACCCAGAGGTGCTTTACAATTGAGCCACATCCCCAGCTCTTTTTATTTTTAAATTTGAAGCAGGGTCTTGCTTAGTTGCTTTGGGTCTCACTAAGTAGCTGAAAATAGCCTTGAACTTATAATCCTCCTGCCTCAGCCTCCTGAGTCGCTGGGATTACAGGCATGTGCTGTAATCACACCATGCCAGGCTAAGCTGTATATTCTTAAAGTGTATAATTTGATAAGTTTTGACATATATACACATCCATAAAACCATTATCATGATCAAGATGGTGAACATATCCATCACCCCCAAAAGATTCCCAGTGTCCCTTGTACTCTCTCCTTTCCCTCCCCTCCCCATGTAATGAAAGCAATGATCTTTTTTTCTGTGCAGTATGATTTTTGTAAGAAGAAAAAAAAAGATTAATCAGCAAAGAAGTAGATGCTTAAAACAGAAAAGGATATTCACCCAAATAGTGTAGAAAACAATTATGAAGAATTTTTTGAAATTACTTTTTTTTTCTGTTTGCTACATTGTATGTGATGAATACCGATTGCTTTTGTAGTAAGAATAAGTCACAGGGCACAGTGGTGTATGTGTGTAATTCCAGCAACTTGGGAGGCTAAGGCAAGAGGATTGCAAGTTCAAAGACATCCTCAGCAATTTAGTGTTGTTATCTCAAATATAACCCTGTCTCAAAATAAAAAATAAAAGAACTAGGGATGTATAGTTACATCTATAGTTTCTATAGTGGTAGAAACTCCTGAGTTTAATCCCCAGTACCAATAATATTAATAATGTCATTGAGATTATTAAAATATATGCCACAGATAATCCAAAACATAAGCATCATGCATAGGCATCCAATAAATATCTGTTAAATGGGACATTTGCTGGTGGTGTGGTGGTATTTACAAATGCCTTTTAGCTGTGGTAGTGATAAACATGCATGTAATGTGAGGGGTGTTGACTGTAGGCACAACTGCTCTAGTGATGATGACCAGAAGTATGCCGAGGACATTGCAGATAACTGCTGAGATGATGACTGTGGGGGTGATGGCTGAGGGAGGTGATGATGGTTGTAGGGGTGAGAGCATCATGGGGTTGACTGACTATAATATCTGTAAGGGTGACAGCTGTAAATGTGATAGAGGCAACAGCGATGACTGTAGAGATGAAAGCTGAGGGATGTTGACTTGTGGAGATGATTGCTGTAGTGATGATGGCCGTAGGTGTGCTGATGGCAGTGGGGATAACTGCAGGGATCATGGTTGTGAGGGTGATGGTTGTCAGGTTGATGACTCTGGTGATGAATGTTGATAGGAGTAGATGGCAGTGATCATAGACATTGGGGTGACTGTGGTGGTAGGAATGGTGATGGCTTAGGAGATGCAATTGACCAGGATCATTGACCCAACAAGCAGAGAGTGAGTCCACCTTCCACTTGCTGGATTCTAATCAGTGAGTATAGGGCTTGAGTAGGCCGCATATCTCAATGTTGATTGTCACTTCTTGGGAGATAGAGCAGAAGGACTGGTAATGATTGACATGAGACAACAGAGTAGGGGCTTTTTTCCAATTGTTCAACCCAAGAGCTGTCTGCATCAGAATCTCTGGAGACTGAAGTTGGGACTTCCTTCCTCCCTAGGGGCCAGCAGGGGCTGCGATTGCTGTAAGAGCAGGTCACGTGGCAGGGCTTCCTGTATGCTGTGCTGCTGGGTGTCCATGGCCCGCACCCCCAAGCTGCCACTGCTGCAGTCGGAGTGGCAGCCGGAGGCTCGGTCCATGCAGTGCCTTCTGGACAGTGTTGGTGAGGCAGAGCAAGAGACCTCTGCATCTTGACACCTAGGAGATCAGGGAAGGAGTCTCACCTGGGGGAGGACCATGTTGCGCCGCAAGCCCTCTAATGCCAGCGAGAAGGAACCCACTCAGAAGAAAAAGGTAAGGAGCATCTTTGGAAACTCACTTTTTCCTTCCCTCCTTTGCTCTCTCCTGTCCGTTTCAAGACTTGTAGAAGTGAGAAGAGCCAAAAAGGCCATATGTTGAGCTCATAGGTGAGGCCCATTCTCCTAGGGGCCCAAAAGTTACTGGAGTAACAGAAGTACAAGAGAGATTTTCAAAATCCTAGAGAGACAAAGCCACAGGATAGACTCTTAGAATAGAGATAGAATTCAACGCTAGCAAGATGGATAAAGAATTAATATTGGAGACCAGAATCCTAGACTAGAATTCAAGAATTACAAAGTACAATGCTCAAGTTGATTCCTAAGATTGTACTTAATTGTCGATCCCCTGTACTGGTCCTGCTACCTCTTCCGCCCAAGTGTGGCCTTTCAGGAGCCATCTCAAAGCCAAGATGGACCCCACTGGGCCACACAGCCAAAATGCCCCCAGGATCCCTCCATTTGACCAAGGCCCAGAACCTGACCACTGGACTCAGCTTTGTTGCAGCTCCCCAGGCCACTGGAGAGGGGCCTGAGATGACCCGGACTCAGGAAAAGGGCCTCCCAAACTGCAAATGGGATATGGGGCACTGTACAGGTTCTTCCCACATGGGGAAAAATGTGAGGAATGAGAAATGGAGCTGGTGAGATGGTGATAGTTGAAGAAGAAAAATTAGGTGGGGGGAGGGTTTCAAAGGCTAGGAAGGAAAGCAGTTTCATGGATGACTGAAGTGTTCATGGTCTTCTGGGGCAGATGCCCAACTGGAAGATTCCTTGAAGGCTCTGCCAGATCTAGGTTTCTCTGGTTGGATCTGAGAATGGATTTGATTGTAGGATTCTCCCAGGCAATCAGAAAGTACATACTGTACATTCCAATGGGACTGTCGGACCCTTCCAAAGTAGGCCTGAATCAGGTCCAAGAGGCTTCCAGGCCTACGTCTGCGTCCTGCATGTCCTCATTGTACCCTGCCAGTTTTCCCTGGAGCTCAGCCCAGGTGCACTATGGGGGAGCCCCCTTTTTCAGGGAAACAGTTCCCAGTCAGAGGCTGAGACAGCTGAGACTGAGCCTCAGGGCACTGGGGTGTGCATCCTGTTCCATCTCTCAGGTCCTGGGTGGCTGCCACTTCCGGCTGTATTCTCCCCACCCCAGCTGCTTCTCTAAGGTTGCAGTGGTGGTAGGGGGGGAGGGGAGATTCTTGAATTTTCACACGGGACCTGTCACCCCCCCCCCCAACCTCACACAGTGCTAGTCCCAGCAGGCCTGCCATTGGCTGCCACTCCTTAGCAAGCGGGGCCACTTCCCCTTGTTCTCTGGCTGATGGGGATGGGAAGCAAAGACTGCACTATAGACACTGCTAGGCCCCAAACCACAGTGAACTGGAGGAAAGAGTCTGAGAAAGAGCTGACACTTTGACACTGGGACCCTGTGCCACATCAGGCAAAGGTACCTAGTGACACATGGAAACCAGAAATCCCCCCTTTTTTTTTTCAGCTTTAATTATCAATTTTCTGTGTTTGACAGGTGGGCCTCTGAAATTGCTCACAGACCACTTCCAGGGGAAGCAAGGCCCATGTGGCACTCTGTGGTTGATGTCCTTTAGGGGAGTGTAGGCAAACCCTACCCTAACCCTACCATATCCTGTGCCAGCTTCCAGAGACAAGATGAGCTTGCCTGCACATGCTCCAGGCCCATACTGTGAAAATAGCCTTAGAAAAGCCAAACTTCCAGAATGAAGATACAGCATCTTCCACAGGCCTGGAGGCAGTGAATTGGCTCCATCATGCATGCATGATGACTATAGTCAAGCCTCTTCCCTCTGGAGACTGAGGTGATATGGTAGAGGGAAGACTTAAAGGCAAGGAAGGTCTCTCTCCCTCCCTCCCCACCTCCCTCCCTTCCTCCCTCCCCACCTCCATCCCCCCTTTCTCCCTACCCCTCTCCTGTCTTGGGCCTACAAAATGGAGAATGTGCCCAGCAGTGGACAAGAAAGTAGAGTTAGAATCTTGCCACTCTTTAGCTGGAGGACCTTGGACAGTTCATTGACTTCTTTGGGGCTTCAGTTTCTCATCTTTGAAAAGGAGGATAACTTCTGGTCTGCCTACCTCACGAGGTGGAATAAGTCAGCTAGAAAAATAGCTGTGAGAGTACTCTGTCACATGTGTTCAATGCCCAGGAGAGGGTGCGTGTTTTGGCATGGGCAGAGGTAGGAAGCACACTGCAAAGAACAGGCCATGGTCCCAGCCCTGAAGTGGTAGAAACAAGACTTAATAACACAAAGAGCCACCACTGAGGGAAGGTTCCATAAATGTCAAGAACTGTGCTGACTCCTCACTACAACTTTGTGAGGAGGGGCAGATATTGTCATTATCCTTATTTCATACCCAAAACTCAAAGAGATGGAAGAACTTGCTGAAGGCCACACTCCCAGTAAATGGCAGATCAGGGATTTAAGCCAAAATTTGTCTGACTTCAGAGTCTGAGCCCTTTTCTCTCTCCATGCTTTTTCCCCCGTACTGATCTCAAAAGCACTAAGGGAGTCTGAGGGACATAAAAGTTTCAGCACACCAATAGGAGTGGCTTTCCAACCTACAGAGCAGAGGCGGGAATAGGCCCTCCTGGATGGGAGGGCAAGGACATGGCACCCACTATAAATTATGAAGGACTGGGGAGGCCCCAGGGTCAAAGGACATATCATTTAGCTGCCCTTAGGAGACTTTCACCTCTTTCTAGTTCTTTGATCTAACTTCATTCAAAGGCCAGTATTAGGGTATAGGAAGCAGAAAGGGATTTATCCTGGACTAGCTTCCCCTAAGAATGGCCCTTCCCCAACATACCTTCAATTTTCACCAACTCCCAGAACTACCACCAGGAAAATGGAGAGGGATTTAGACTCCTGTTTGAGTATTTAGTTGGTTCTTCCTTCCAGTCTCTTTCTGCCCCCATATCCTCCAATCTCAGCATACTATTCCACAGTGGCTCCCTTGCCACAGCACACCCTTAACATGACATCCGCACCAGCATGTGCTTCATATTTTCAGTACAAGTTGAGCATCCCTAATCTGGAAATCTGAAATGCTCCAAAATCTGAAACTTTTTTTTTTGAATGCTTACACGATACCACAAATGGAAAATTCCACACCCGACCTCATGTGATAGGTTACAGTCAAAACGCAAGCACACTAAAAGGATTGTCTAAAATTACCTTCAGGCTAAATGTATAAGTTGTATGTGAAACATAAATGAACTTTGTATTTGTATTATGTCCCATCCCCAAGATATATTATGTACATGCGAATATTACAAGATCTGAAAAAAAAATTGAAATACTTCTGATCCCAAACATTTTCAATAAAGGACATTCAAGCAATAGCTTCTCATTGCCCACAGGATAACACCCAAGTTCCTGGGCATGGCTGCAAAGGCCTTCTGTAAACTTTTCTGCTCCACCTCCCACCCCAGACACTGGCATACCCACCTTTCCATCACCATGCTTGGAATGTCCCTCTGTCTCTGACTCTTGTTCAAACCCTTCCTAGCTTCATCTAGAGACATCCTACCCCCACTGGCCCAGCTCAAATACAACTCCTCCATGAAGCCATCCTGAGCCCTTCCACTGCCATGCTCCCATTGGCTTCCCTGGTGACTCCGTTCAAATACCACCTACTGTCAGCATTGCATCAGTCGCTTCTGTCTTTGGGTTGGAGTGATCCCAAGACAGTGATTGTGTGATGGGGATGTAACTCAGTGGTAGAACTCTTGCCTAGCATATTCAAGGCCCTGGATTTCATCCCCATCGCTGCAAAACAAATAAATAAAAATAAAATGGAGTGGAAAATCCTTTTTTTAAATACTTCTCTGCCATACAGAGAAGTGCATAAATCATAAATGCATCACTCAATGAGTATCCATAAAGTGACCATCCCTATGTAGTCAGCACCCAGATCAAGAAACAAAACATTTCCAAAAGTCCAGAAACTTCTCCCATGCCTGCTGCCCTGCCTGTTGCTAAATGACCCCTTTCCCCAAGGGTAACTATTTCCCTGACTTCCAACAGCATAAGTATGTTCTCCTGGGTTTTGAACTTTGTGTAGCCACTGAAATATTTGCATATATACTCTTTGGGGGGTGGCCTCTTTTGTTCAAGAGTGTATTGGTGAGACTCATCCATGTGTTGGGGATAGTTGTACTGTCTCATTGCTGGGTACTATTCTCTTCAGTGAGTCTGCTGCAATCAATCTATCTTATCAGCATTTGATGGGCATCTGGATTGTTTCCAGTTAAACTGGAATTTGAAGGAGGAGAGAAACTATGGTTGGCAGAAAGAAAGGCTGAGTATTCTAGGTGAAGAAATGCCCAGGATAAGAGTCTAGAGGTGGCTCACACAAAAGGCTAAGCTAAGGTAGATGCTTTGGGCTTCATATAACTGATGAGGAAACAGCAGCCTAGAGAAGTTAAGTAACTTATCCAGCTTTACACAGCTGGTCAGATGTGAAGCCTTGCCATCTGACACCAAATGAAGAAACTGCGGTTCTGAAAGGTTAAAGAAGTTGCCTAAGGTCACACATCCCAAAATTGAACTCATCAATATCTGATGCCAGAAATGTAGCTTTTTCCAAGAGTTCCAACATGCTCCCCTTGGACTTGAAAAGGGGGTACCACCTCTCCTATATCCATGACTCCCAGCAAGTCTTGCCCCAAAGGAAGGCCCGGCAGAAAACTCAAATGGGCTCAGGGATTTCAAGTCATCCCAGGGTGGGGATGGGATACACCCTGGGGTCACTGAAAGGTAGTCGGGATATTGGAGCTACCCTTGAGGTTAGAAGTAGTCCTAGAAAAAGGCTATCCTGATTGGTCCTCACTTTTGATCACCCAAAGAACATGTGCTAGTCCTTTCCATCTCACCAGACTGAAAAGTGGCCAGCTGGGCCCAAGCACCAGCAACAACTTCATGGCCCTTTTGGATTATCTCCTCCTGCTTTGGGCTAAATCTGGGACAGAGGGGCCCATGAGCCAAAGTTACCTTCTCCCAGCCCCCAGACCGCAGATTAATGACAGGAAAAGGCCTGGGGAAAGAGCTGCGATTAGAGGGCAGCCGAGCCATGAGTTTACTCTTCCCTAACAAAGCCTACTTCCGGCCCCAGGCCTGCCCTCCTGCTTGCTTTCCAGCCTCACCAGTCCCTGGGGCTTAAGGGGCGACTCTTAGCCTCCTGATCTGCAGATCAGGCTAAAGGGTGGTGAAGGGAAGGTCACAATAGGTCCCATCTGCCTATAAATAGCAGGCCAGCCTGCCCTCCTTGGGCCCACCCCTCTCTCTGTTCCCTCTTTTCCATGCACTAAGAGGAGGAAGTTATCCAGGCAGCTGCATCCTACCATACAAGAGGAGGAAATAAATGGAAGGTGGAGGAGAGAGGGGAAAGAAAGGGAGAAAAGGAGGAATGAATAATGGCAGGGGAAAACCTGGGAAGGAGAATGGAGCTAATGTATGAGAACCACAGCAGTCACCCCATGGTCATGTTTCCCCCTCTCTATATCCACTCACAGTCCCCTTTTCTGGGTCCCCAAGGTAGTACAGAGGAGGCTTTCTGACTGAGGCTGCAGACGCCCCACCCATGAGGTCCTGATCCTTCTAGAGTCTGCTTGACCTGACCACTGACCTAGTTTCTGGTCAGTTACCTCTAGGAATGTGTGGTTCCTGATGCTGGATTGTTGGCAGCTTTGGTCAAGACTAGCAAAATACTAGACAGCTATATTCTTGTCCCCAGGAGTTGGGACAAATTGTGCATGTGTTGGGGGGCAGGTGATATTGCTCTGCCCTAGGGGCTTACCACTGGACACATATACCCTCATTTAGTAGGAAAGAGGATGTGAAACCTTTAGTTTTGTGTGGGTTTGGGGCTTTGGTTCCTCAAGTCCTTATCTTGGGTGTCTGCAGTCTATCCCGCGCTATCTGTCTGGCCATCTGTGAACCCCGGTTCCTGTGTATATCTTCTGGTCTTGACTGTTTATCTTGATACAGGCTCAGCCTCAACTTCTTGTGTCTATGGCCTGCCCCCCTTACCTGTCTTGCCCTGGTTTCTGGCTGCTATCTTAGCATATTCATGTACATACAGTTAAGAAAGCTCATTTCCTGAAAATAGTCTCATCAACACAACAGGGCATGCCTTAAAGTCCAAATACAAAAGTGTTTGGCAAAAGTCAAGAGTTGCTAGCTCATCACATGAGTGGCTAAGTTTAAGAACTGAAATGAATAAAGAGAAAAATGGCAGCTTGCTTTAACTAAATTAGCCCCAATCATTTATGTTCTAAATTTATAGGCACCTTCTATTAGTGAGCTTCTACTGTGGTTTTTCCAGAAAGTCTAATAATAGGTCTTTCTGGCTTCTGGTGGGATGGTCTTGCTCTTCCTGAGACAAGTTCATCGAGCAGGAGGCCAATATGTTTACCCCAATCACTAGGGTTGCAGAGCTGGCTCAGAGTGGGCCCAGGGCATGAAGGCCAGAGCCAATGAGTGTGGGAGGAATTTGCTCTCAGTTAACTTGTGGTAAGGTTCTCATATGTGCTGAGGTACACATTTACTCAAACCCATTCATTCTTTCACTCAGTTATTGGTGGAAAGTTGAGCTTAGTCTGGGGCAGTACTGAGATCTGAGGCTCCTGAGTCAGGAACTTGATCAATGGCCAGGGACAAGGTGAAGAATAGGATGAAGTCACATAGCTCAAAGGAAGCATGGCCCTTCACCTCATTAGCCCTGGGCTTTTAGGGCACAGGTGGCTCTGACCAGTCGAGAGAGAGAGAGAGAGAGAGAGAGAGAGAGAGAGAGAGAGAAGATATCAGTCCTGGGGCAGCCATTTTAGTGCCAATGATTGCAAAATGTCTGTTTCTTCCAGCTTTCCCTTCAGCGCTCCAGCAGCTTCAAGGATTTTGCCAAATCCAAACCCAGCTCCCCTGTGGTGAGCGAGAAGGAATTTAATCTGGAAGATAATGTGAGTTTCAGAACTTCCTTGAGGGATCTGTCTAAAACCCCTGGGTGGAGAAATAGGGGTGAGAGGGAGGAGAGGGAAAAGGAGATAATAGGATTGTCCAGGCAAAGCCTCCTTTAAAAAAAAAAAAAGTTTAGTTGAAGATGGACACAATGCCTTTATTTTATTTATCTTTTTATGTGGTGCTGAGGATCAAACCCAGTGCCTCACACATGCTAGGCAAGTGCTCTACCACTGAGCTACAACCCCAGCCCTGCAAAGCATCCTTCGACACAGAAGACCTACCTGCCCAACATCAAACTTATAAGCCCCAAGTACCTGCCAGCATTCTTTTGTACAAGAAATGAAGTAGCAAATTAATTGCAAATTAATAGGACTGAGGACAGAGCTGGGGCTAATGGGGAAAAAGATGGGAGAAACCCTATCTCCTTCCCACCTTTACAGTGACCCAAAGTATCTCTTTGTACTCCAAGACCAGGACCCAAAGAGGGTTACCTCCTCTTTTATTGTTACAGATTCCAGAAGATGACTCCGGTGTCCCCATCCCAGAGGATGCTGGGAAGAGTGGCAAAAAGCTGGGGAAGAAGTGGAGGGCAGTGATTTCCCGAACCATGAACAGGAAGATGGGCAAGATGATGGTGAAGGCCTTATCAGAGGAGATGGTGAGCCCTGGGGATCCAAGAGAGGGGAGCCAAAGAGGCTGGCTCTGGCAGAGGGTGACAGCAACTATTCAGGCCTGGAGGAAGGGCACATGGGAGGGAGATCTCACAATCAGCCATGAACAGTGTAGCAGTGCAGTCCTCGGGGCTAAGAGGCTGGCTAGGAAAGGGCTGATGTTTGTGGAGGGATGAAAGGCTAGGCTAGACATAGAAGCTTCCTGCAAAGGTAGGCCTGTGGGGAGGGGCAGCTGAAAGGGGCATGAGATGACCTGAGGCAAATCCATCTACCTCAAAGCTTTGCTTGGAATTAGTCCCTGGGATTGGAAAGACCTGATTATAGGAGGATATAGAGAAAAATATAGATCTACTTAATTTTTGATGGGGTTACATCCTAATAAACTGTGAGTTGAAAATATCATTAAGTCAAAAATGCATTGAAAACCGGGTGGTGCACATCTGTAATCTCAGTGGCTCGGGAGAATGAGGCAGGAGGATCACGAGTTCAAAGCCAGCCTCACAATGGCAAGGTGCTAAGCAACTCAATGAGGCCGTGTCTCTAAATAGAATATATTAAAAAGGGCTGGGGATGTGGATCAGTGGTCGAATACCCCTGAGTTCAATCCCTGGAATTAAAAAAAAAAAATCAGAGCTTAGCGACACAGTACACAGTCGAGTGTCAGTTGTTTCCCTTCATGATCTCATGGCTGACTGGGAACTGTGGCTCACTGCCACTGCTTAGCATCACCAGAGAGGCTCAGACTGCATAGTGCCAGCCTGAGAAAAGATCCAAATTCAAGATTCAAAGTGCAGTTTCCACTGAATGCATAGTGCATTGGTGCCATTGTAAAGTCAAAAGATTGTAAATCGAACAATCATGAAGTTTGAGACCATTCATAGAGAAAATTGAGAAGGTTGGATTCAGCCCAGGGAGGAAGGTGACATAATGGTGGGGCAGCATAGTCCAAGGAACTTGTAAAAGCTTGTGGCTATTACCAAAGGTACCAAGCAGTGGTGTGCTAGAGTTGGCTCAGATTGGCTTGTGAGAGCAGTTGTTCAAATTGTGAGGAATTTTGTGAGCCAGTTGTTAAATTAGATCATTATGAAAAATAATATTATATAAATTTACAATTAAATAAATTCTATTAAAGGCAAGAACAAGGGCTGGGGTCGTGGCTCAGTGGTAGAGTGCTTGCCTCACATGTGTGAGGCACTGGGTTCGATTCTCAGCACCACATAGAAATAAATAAAATAAAGGTCCATCAACAACTAAAAAAAATTTTTAAAAAGCAAGAACAATACCATAAATCTTCAAAATTCAGCGCTTCCTAATCATAGCACTACCTGTTACTCTCTCAGTGTTGTTCATATTTGTGTCTATGGTATCTGTGTAGTAGAAGTAACGTAACTATTTCTTCAAGCAACACATCCAGTGGCATCACAATGGTGGCTTGATGTTGGCCATGGTAGGGAGAATTTACAGTATGGGAATAGACAAATCTTGGGGCTTTTATTCCCAGAGAGCCAGCTGTTAAACAGCACCACAGAGATGTGGTGAGATGGGAGGAGCTCTGGAGTCAGGCCAACATACTTGTGGGTTCCCATGGATCTTGGCAAGGTCACTCTTCATCTGTGAACTCAAGCCAACTATATCACTTATCTTCTAGAGGCACTGTGAGGATAAAATGAAATGGCAGGCAGGCCTGGCTCATAGAAGCACAGGCAAAAGGTTTGCTCTCCAGCACCACTGTTTGCTTGACTGGGCTATAATAGTCCTGAGTCCAAGCTTGTTCACCCTTGGCCTTTTCAGCATTACATGAGCACTTGAAGCTGATAAAGCATGTTCACTGGGCACACTGGTGAGCCTCGTTCTGTGAGGTAGGCAGGATAAAGATTGCCATTCCCATTTTTACCAAAGAGGAAACTAGGGCTGGAGAGTGTCACTGACCCTATAGGTAACATAGATGGAGTTTGAGCCAAGCCCAGGTCCAGTTCTTCTGCACTTAGGTCGGGCCTGTGTGCACCACAGCCAGGTCACTGAGGGCTTTCTGCCTAACGTCCTTGCAGGGAGACACGCTGGAAGAGGGCTCAGCCTCCCCTACATCTCCAGACTGCATCCTGGACAGTCCTGGCCCTGAGAAGATGGCTTTGGCCTTTTCTGAGCAGGAAGAACGTGAACTCCCAGTGCTCAGCCGCCAGACATCAACGAGTGAGTAGGGGAGGTGGGAGGACACCTGCCCAACTTGCAAGAAAGAGCTGGGTTAGGGCCAGGCAGATGGGTCTCTGGGAAGGGGAGGTAAGAGAGAGAAATGTTTACTGTCTGCCTGTTGGGAACTTCCTCAGCTCTCATCACATTAAATCTTCACAACCTCATGGGACCACTACTATTATTTGCCACTTTATTGATGTGGAAACTGAGGCTCAGGGAGGTTAAGTGACTCACTCAAGGTAACCCAGTACAGAATTTGGATCTGACCCAGAGAAGATGCCCTGCCTGGAGGAGGGCTGTGGGTTCTGGACTGCAGCTCTCAAGAGACTGCTTTTCTTGCCCCTTAGTCCCATTCCAAGTTTTCTATTCTTTCTGTGCCTCCACAGACACCTCCCTGTCACCCCCTCCAATTGAAAGCCATCTAAAATGCCCATCATTTTGCTCTTCCAGGAAGAAAGTGCCCATCTGAGTTTCCATGGGACGTTGTAACTAAATATTTAATCTTATTAAGTAAAGAAGTAAATTATTAACATAAGGTGTGGCTTCCTGGGTGTAAGAAGCGATGGAATGGAGTGAGATCTGGTGTATAACAGACCCAGTGCTGTCAAGTATAAGGTGAGAGGCATTGGGCAGGTTGCTTAGCCCATCTGGCCTCTGGTTTCTTCATCTATTCCTTGAGGTGTTGGCCCAATTGGGCTCCAGAGGCCCTCCCAATTTACCCATTCTTTGGTCTGTGAGTCATTTCTCTTCCTATTGTCAACTCTTCATTATCTGAGGCCCCAGAGGTGCCTGTGCTTTTCCAGGGTGGCCAAGGTGATGAGTTCCAAATTACTCCTATAGTGTGAGGATTGCTCAGCATGTACCCTTGAGATTTCTAGGCAGGATCTCTGGGAGGTACCTGCTGGGCACTGCCCCAGCTCTCCTGGGACAAAGATGAGCCTCCTCCCTGCCCCATCTCCTGCAGGCAGCGAGCTCTGCAGCCCCAGCCCTGGCTCTGGCAGCTTCGGGGAGGAACCATCTGCCTCCCAGTACACAGGGCCCTTCTGTGGTCGGGCACGAGTCCACACCGACTTCACTCCCAGCCCCTATGACCACGACTCACTGAAACTGCAGGTAAGGTTGTCATCCGGGCCCCTTCAGAGCCTGCAGCCATAAAGGAGGCTGGACTGAGTCATGGCAGGACAGTATCAGCAGAGGCCAAAAGACCCCCTCTCCTCTTTCCTGCACTCCTCTCTCCTGTCCTCCTTTCTCCTCTCCCCCCACAGAAAGGAGATGTGATCCAGATCATTGAAAAACCACCTGTGGGCACATGGCTGGGCCTGCTCAATGGCAAGCTGGGCTCTTTCAAATTCATCTACGTGGATGTACTGCCAGAGGAGGCTGTGGGGCCTGCCCGCCCCAGCCGCCGACAGAGCAAGGGCAAGAGGCCCAAACCTAAGACTCTGCATGAGCTGCTGGAGCGCATTGGCCTGGAGGTTTGAGCTTGGACCTGCATTAGTATCTAGGAGCAAGAGAGGCACAGTTGCCCCTGGGATGGAGATCAACAGCCATGTGTAAAGGGGAGGTTCTAGGCTGGGGTAGCTTATAAGCAGCAATGTCACTGGCCTACCTCTGCCCCCAGGAGCACACATCCACCCTGCTGCTCAATGGCTACCAGACACTGGAGGACTTCAAGGAGCTGCGGGAGACACACCTCAATGAGCTGAACATCATGGACCCACAGCACCGGGCCAAGCTGCTCACAGCTGCAGAGCTGCTGTTGGACTATGACAGTGAGTGGCTTTAGGAATGGGGTGATAGGCACAGTTGCCAGTTGGCATTCCGGAGAGCAAAGGTTTGCCTTAGTTCTGCCCTTGACTATACTCTGCCCTGGTGCCCCCTGCACTAGAAACTTTCCCCACTTGAACTTGAGTTTCAGGGAAAGTTTGTGGGGAAAGGGGTTTTAGGAGTGATTGGACCCAGCTCCCTTTTGGATCAAAGGAAAGACTTAAGGCCAGAGAAGGTAGGGCACTTATACAAAGACTTAAAGCTGAATAATACAGCCAGGATTGAAGCCCAAGTTGCCTGGCTCTAGTTCAGTGCCAAAGACTCATTTGATCTTGATCTCCTGGGCAGAGCAGACCTGGAAAAAAAACTGGAAATGGTGAGAAGAGGGGCAGGAGTAGTTGAGGGAGCAGAGGAACTAAGTGCCTACAGCAGACTTCCCATGGTCCCTAACCCCATGAGGGGCCTCCTTGCAGCCTCTGATCCCCTATCTTAGGACTAACCCCCCCCCCCATATTCTATTTTCCTCCCTTATCCTTGGCAGCTGGCAGTGAGGAGGCAGAAGAGGGCGCCGAGAGCAGCCAGGAACCAGTGGTGCATACAGTGTCAGAACCCAAGGTGGATATCCCACGGGACTCTGGCTGCTTTGAGGGCTCAGAGAGTGGGCGCGATGAGGCAGAGCTGGCAGGCACTGAGGAACAGCTGCACAGCCTCTCCCTCACCGGGGCACCTTGAGGTGGAGGTGGCACAGGCCAAGGCTGGGCCTGAGCTGCAAAGGCCACAGAGATGGACCCAGCCTCCTATATGACCTGGGCCCAGAGGACTGGTGCCCAGCCTGGCCCTGCTTCCCCAGTCAAAGGCCTGGCCAGGACGCTACAGGATCAACTGGAGTGGATATGGAGCTGCCTAGAGGCAAATCCCTTCTGCCAGCCTCCCTCCCTCCACCAGCGACTGACAGCACAGCCCCTCCTGGTACCACCCCCCCCATCAACAGCAAACAGGGCACTAAGGGACCTGCCAATATCCCTAACCACCAAGGCCCCTAAACCCACCTCATCCGCACACCATCCATCTTTGTTACGCTGCTCCTAAAAAGGGCACCAAGTCAGAGTTTCAGAAGTCTCAAACTCCTAGAGAAGTCGACTGTTTCAAAGGACCCTAGTTGATCACAGATGAATCCAGAGGTTCCTAAATAAGTTTTGAAGAAAGCTGCAAGTATCATTTCTACTTCCCTTCTCCCTAACCTTCATAGCGGTTTGGTGGCTAAATCAGTATGAGTCTTTTTTATTTGTTCTACTATCTACATGATAGTAGAATGTATTTGGACATATTATACATATATGGAGTATAACTTCTCATTCTTCTGGTTGTACATGATGTAGAATTACATTGATTGTGTAATCATATATTCACATAGGATAGTAATGTCCAGTTCATTCCACTGTCTTTCCTATTCTCATCCCCTCCCTTCCCTTCTTTCCCCTTTGTCTAATCCAATGAACTTCTATTCGTCCCCTCCCCACCCCACCCCCTCATTGTGAATTAGCATCACATATCAGAGAAAACACTTGGCCTTTGTTTTTTTGGGGGGATTGGCTTATTTCACTTACTAGACAAAGGCACCACAAACATACACTGGAGGAAAGATAGCCTCTTCAACAAAGGTTCTGGGAAAACTAGAAATCCACATGTAGCAAAATGAAATTAAATCCCTATCTCTCACCCTGCACAAAACTCAACTAAAAGTGGATCAAGGACTTAGACATTAGAACAGAGACCCTGAGCCTAATAGAAGAAAAAGCAGACCCAAATCACTATGAGTCTTGAACCAAGTGCCTCCTCTCTCCAAGCTTATGATTGATCAGGGTTAGAATGAGTAGTCACTGAGGACCTTAAAAACTCTGACATTCAGTGACTTTAAATATCTGATCTCCTGCTACCTGTGGCCCAGGACACAGTGGAGCTTACCAAGGGGGTTGGAGGGGTCCTGGGGCTTTCAAATGAAATCTCCTACTCATCCACTTTATACCTTCCCATGGGACTCAGGCTGAGCTTCAACTTCATCCAGCTTAGTCCATACCTCATACAGTATGTGTCCCCCTTCTGTTCTTGACCTCCTCAAAGAGATTTCCCACAAGGCTGATGGCAGGTGGTCATATCTGACTTCCAAGGGCAAAACTGCCCCCTCAGAAGCCAGATGCAAAACTCGGTGTACACACCTGTAGTCCCAGCAACTCAAGAGGCTGAGGCAGGAGGATCACAAATTTGAGGTCAGCCTAGGAAACTTAGCTAGACCCTGTCTCAAAATAAAAAATAAAAAGGGCTGAGAATGTAGCTCAGTGGTAGAGAGCCCATGGGCTCACTTTCCAGCACCAAGAAAAAAAGAAAGAAAAAGAAAAAGCAGCAGCAGCCAGTGCAGGTCTGGGTCCAGACTTGGCCACTTGTATGGGTCCTTCCAAGCAAAGAAAGCACTAAGCTTGACACTGGGAAGTCCACTGTCCCTACATTGCTTCACTAATGATTTTGGTGTGCTCTGAGCCCCAGAAAGTGATAAAAGTATGTTGTTGGGGGCCTCCCTTGTCCCCAGTAGCAAATCTATGCCTTGAGTCTCACAGAATAGCCCATTCCTGGTGCAAGTCAAACGGTGCCCACTACATCTAGGACTGCCTGCTTAGTGGACGCATTTCTTGACCTACTTCCAGGAACTTTGGCAAAAGTTAGCTTTGGGGAAGGGGTTATGTATAGATTTGAGGGGATAGACAGAAGCAATTTGGTAGCAATAAATGTCGGTCAAACTAAATTACTGTCTCCTCTTGTCTTTCTTATGGAGAGAGGATTGTTGGGAGGGTAGACCAGTCTCTTTCAAAGCTAGTCTCAACAAAGTGTACCTCTGTGGTCCTTTCAGGGTCATCTTTCCCCTCCATGAGGATGCCCAGTGCCCTTGACTCTGCTAACCTAAAGCTCCATCCAAAGCCTAGCTGGCTCTGTACTTCCCTTCTCAGAACAGGGCTCAGGATCCCATGGCCACAGGCCTTACTGGGGTCTGAGAGCAGATAGAAAGGAAGTTATTTCCTTCTTCCTATAACAGCTCATTTAAACAAAGCCCTTAAAGATCTTCACCCCTGCGAAGAAGGGCCTACATTGGGGGGCTGTCCAGGGTACAAGTTAGGGAGAGTAACATCAGCAGGACCTTTCCTCTTGAAGCACTCTTCCTGGGCCCTAACTTGGGCCCACTACGTTACACCATCTCCTGGGAGGTGGGATGGAATCAGAGACCTCTGGCTTCCTCTCTGCTTCTGCAGCATTAACTGCATTAGGAAGAATACACTAGAATGAAAACCATCATCAGAGTTAGAACAAGATCACGCTGCTTCCAGACTGTTCTCAGCAGCACTCATCCTCCTGTGGATAGTGACTGTGAGCATCAGGAAACTGCAAGCATTATTTTCACTCAAGAAACAAGAGCCCTAAGGGGACTGGATAATTGCTTAAAAGTCCCAAGGGGACTGAATAATTGCTGACTTTTGTGAGTGCTGGCACTGAGCACTTTACATATATTATCTCATATAATCCTCAGTGTCCCTCTGAGGTAGATATCATCCTCATTCCAATTTACATAGGAGGAAACTGAGGCTCTGCGAAGTTGAAGAGGTAGACTAGGAAGTGATAAGAGCAAGGAGTCTGCCTGACTTCCCAGCCCATATTATTTTATTTATTTATTTTTTAGTTGTAGATGGACAAATACCTTTATTTTGTTCATTTATTTTTTATGGTGCATGGGGATACGAGGCAACCATTAAACACAATATTGTGGAAAACTAATGATGGGGACAAGTCTTCATGATTTTTTTACTCTTAAATTTTAAAATTATATAAATAATGTACAAACATTTTATTATAAAAGAAGTTCATATAATATCAAGAGGAAAAGCAAGTACTTAGGCATTTTTATAGGGTGATTCTGTTTCTATCCAAGAAAAGGAAAATGTACATGGAGAATACAGTAGAAAGATGCACACCAAATGGTTATAGGTGGTGGGTTTGTTTTCTTTTTAAGAGAGAGAGAATTTTTTCTTAATATTTATTTTTTAGTTTTCGGCGGACACAACATCTTTGTTTGTATGTGGTGCTGAGGATCAAACCCGGGCCGCATGCATGCCAGGCGAGCGCGCTACCACTTGAGCCACATCCCCAGCCCCAGGTGGTGGTGTTTTGAGGGGAGTAGGTAGGACTGGGGCAGTGAGAGCTAGAAAGTGTTCACTTTCTACATTCATGTTTCATTAGGATGAAACAATATCTGATTCAAAAATATCTTTTACTTTTGTTATCTATCCCCAGTTCAGAAAAAAAAGGAACAATCTTTGAAAAACTAAAGCTAACGAACAAATAGAGCCAAAACCTCTGGTCTCTAATCTAGGGTTGTAGCAAAGGACTCTGGAAAGATGGGGAAGTAGGGTTTAATAATGCCCAAGTGCTTTAAAATCCATACACCTCAAAGGACACCTATTAGAAAAGATTCTTTGACCTTTTAAAACTCCTGAGTAGGGCTAGGGGTATACTCGGTAGTAAAGTACTTGCCCTTCAGGGAGGTAGCAATACAAGCGCTCCAGTGCTCACAGGAGTTTGAGAGGGACAGGTGAGGAGGGGCTTCAAGGAAATGCAGACACCAGGCCAGAACCTCAGGGGCAAGAAAGGCACTGCTGAGCAGGGCTACAGATCAGCCTGAAACTCTTCTTCTAGTGAGTAGAATCTCCTCTAGGGCAAGTAAGGCATAGCATTCAGGAGCTCAGGCCAATCTGAGTTCAAGTCCTCACTGTCACACCTCTAGCTGAGTCACCTTAGACAAGTCACTGAACTCCTTAAATCTCAATTTCCACATCAATAAAAAGGGGATAATAGTACTGGTCCCCGGATCTATTATGAAGAATTACTAATGCCTATACTTAGCACAGTGTCCAGCACAAATTCCCAATGAATGGCGATGTCTTATACTTCAATTTGCACCACCCTCCATTTCACTCCCTTCAAGGCATCTCACTTCTGATCTCTAGTTAGTACAGTGACCAGCAACAAAGGCTTTGGAGTTGAAATGTTTTCAAATTTTGGCTCCACCACTTACTAATCACATGACTTCAGGCTAGGTTACATGCATACACATTTCTTTTCTGTAAAATATTGTGATCTAACAATACCTACATCTTGGGGTTGTTAGAGAAATAAATGAGATAGTGTATATTAAGTTTCTGGCATACAGTGCAATAAGCAGCTGCTATTTGACCTTTCTGTAACCTCCAGGCTACTGTGCTCAATGCTGGGCACACAGGTGATCTCAATATGTGCTTGTCTGCAGACTCACTGACATTAGGACCTGCCATAGCCCAAAGACAAACCAATATCCAAGCCCCTAGATGGTGTGGGAATTGTTGAAGAGCTGATAGAGAGTGCCACCTCTGGTGCTCAGAGAGGCTAGTGATGGAGAGAAAGCTGACCTAAAGACCTGGGACAGCCCTAGCTCTACCCAGTTCCTAGTAGGATGGTCAACCCTGGACATTAGACTCCCATTAGGCATCTCCCCTTGGACTTCTTTCTGCTAGAAGGAAGAGGAAACAGGCCGGATTCAAGAAGAATTAGGATTCAACCAGCTCATCCCCAGTTCAGAATGAGAGCCACTTTCACCCCCTCCTTCCCATCAGGGAAAGCAGCTTGGGGTAATGGCATACCCCAGCCAAACTCGCTCCCCTCCCATAACACTACCATAGACCATCCCAGGCAGGTTCCCTCCACGCATTCCCTCTCCTTCCACCCCTTCCCTCTCCTTATACCCCCACTGCCATGGCTATGTGATCTGATACATGGCACTGAGGCTCCAGCCCCTGCCTGTGGCCATCCAACTTCTCACTCATGGAGCTTCCTACTCAGGCTTCTCACAGAAGTGGAGGCTACAGTTGGGCTATCGGTGACCAAAGGCATTAAAACAAAAGCTAACGACTGTTGTTTGTCAGGGGGGAAAAAAACCACACTGACCACCATAGTCCCAAAAGGGCCCAACACCTTCCCCCTTCCAAGTCAGGAAATTCAGGATGAAGTATGAGGTTTCCCAGCTGGGAAAAGAAGGGCTCTCCCAGCCCTCTTTCCTTCACAATAGAAGCTCCCTTTGCTTCTCACACAACAGTGGCCACGTTACATATTATTCAGCCAACAACACAATCAAGTGGGAAGGAACTGCCTCCCCTCTAGTCCCAGCCAAGACTCCTCCTCCAGGAAGGACCTAAATAAATGGAATTCTATAGTACTTGATATGTAGGCTTCACCTTTTCCTATAACTTCACAGTGACCAATATAGCATTTGTATACCATTGCCTCTGGGACCTGCCTGGGATAGCGTCAGAAAGTCAAAAAGAGCCCAGGGCAATGGCCCTCACAAAGGGACAGCCAACTTGACTGTGGGAACCTAGCAAAGCAACTTCCTGACTTTCTGTGCTAAAGAAATCCCACCATCAGTTCAATACAAGTGCAGGGTTCTGGAAAGAGATTTACATTTAAAACAAAACCCCAACAACCACCCCTATGTCAGCCCTACTATATATAGTCAGCCTTCTGCATGCCTAAAATGGACATCAACAGATATATTAATCTAAAATGGCAAACAATCCTAAAATCATTGTCGTTCCTCAACTTACTTACAAGATAACATGGTCAGCAATGCAATTTCTCCTAAAGTTAATACTAGCACATGGTCAACATTCAACAAGTATTTATTGAATATTAAATAAAGAAAAAGATCCTTCCATTAAGATGAAAAATGACATTTGCAGTTATTCAAACTCCTTCCTTTGTCTATACCTGCTTGGCAGAGGGGCAATGGGTAATACTGGAGAGCTCTCTAAACTGGAAGTAAGTACATCTTCATTTTGGTCTTGGCTGTGCCAGTAATTCTTTATGTGACCTTGGATAAGTCATTGTACTTAATTTGGAAAGAGCACACACATGTGAGCACAAATGAGCTATATGGATTATATGATTGATACATTCCTTTCAGCTTTGTTGTTCAACATAACCTATATTTTATGACAAATAACCATCATGTCTCTTATTTGGACACAAACTCTAATTCTTTCAGCCAAGTTACAACAGCCAAATAGCTGTTGATATATAACCAAAGAGATAGGCAGTAACTGGATAAAAAGACAGTGGAAAATGAGGGTTTAAAGAAAGCAAAGGGGCATGGAATGTGAAGAAGATGATTCCACTCCATGTTATAGAGTTGTAAAACCACTTCTAAATTAAGGGTCCCCTCATTCCCTGGCCCATGGTGGAATGTGAGCTCTAAGTTCTAATTTACTAATGGATTAAAAACCACCTAATATCAGAAGAAAAATATTCAAAGATCTTGGACAGACAATTTATAGAAGAAATAAAAATTGCAATACAGGGCAGAGAAGAGGGGCAGAAAATGTGTAATTTCATGATTAATCAAAGATATATAAACTACATGGCACTAAGATATGTTTACAGCTATCAAATTACTGTACCAAATGTTTGCATGAGATGGACTGAAGCAGGTTCTCTGATACACTGCAGGCAGAACAAACTGTGACAGCCTTTCTGTAAAGCAATTTGACCATATTTACCAAGAGCATTAAAATAGCATTTTTTATTTATTTAAAATAGCATTCTCTTTGACACAATAATTCCACTTCTAGTAATCTATCCTAAGGAAATAATCACAGATATGTCCACATCTAAGGAAGTTCTCACAACATTACTTATAATAATGAAAAACTAGAAACTCCTTAATATCAGATTCCAGGGGGAAGGTTATGACTGTTTTGTGGAGTCATTAAGAAATATTTTCAAATAATTTCTAATGATATGGAAAATACTAAGCAAAAAAGCAGATTTATAAAACTATATTTTGTAGTTGAATTCCAGTTATGTTTAAATGTTTACATGCCAAAAAGACTAGAAAGAAACAACCAAAGCAGTGATTACTATATCCTGGAGATGAGTTTATAGATGATTTTTAAAAAATATATTCTTACTTTTCCTGTACTTTTCCAATGTTCAACAATGAGCATACATTACTTTAAAAATTTTTTAAAGCATATTAAAGGTGTGAGGTGAGAGACATGTTCATTTATTTTCTGCCTAGTCTTTATAAATATTTTGAGTGACAAAGGAATCTCTGAGGGCTGGCAGCATAAGTCACTGGTAGAGTGCTTGCCTAGTATGCACCATGCCCTGGGTTTGATCCCCAGCACCACTTTAAAAAAAAAAAAAAAAGATAATCTGGTTCAATGGTTCTCAATCCTAGCAGTCCAATGCTTCCTTGCTAGTTAATAGTATTTTAAAGCACCTTTTACCCCAGCCCAAAATGAACTTCATTGTTAATATAACCTGATTATACTTATAATTTCAAAAATACCAATGTAATGTATAGTTAGGACAATTGGCCCCATTGTCCCTTCCACATCCCAAGAATACCAAAATCTATAGATGCTGGCATATGGAATAGTATTTGTATAGGAATTAATTATCCACATACTCCTGTATTCTTTAAATCATAGCTAGATTACTTCTGTTACCTAATACAATGTAAATGCTACACAAATCATTGTTATATTGTTTAGGGACTAATGACATGAAAAAAAATGTTTGAATATTTTCCACCCAAGGTTAGTTAATTTAATCTATGAATGTAGAACCCACAGATATACAGGGTTGACTGTACTAAGAAAGTAATTTATAGTAAGATTATATGTATTTTAATATACAAATACCTAGGCAAGACTACACTAAAACATATAATAAAGTATGAAATTCTCCCACCTATCTGTAGAATCCCTGTTGAACGCAGGTGCTAGAAATGTAGGATCATTCAGATAGGCTGTGCTGGCAACTTAAATACCCATGAATGGCACTACTTATAGTGGCATGGTTTTTGAAAGTCATGAATAACTCATAGTAAAGTTTTGAACAAAATAAAATACCATCTTCCCCCAATTTATAAGTTTTCATTCCTGGAAATTCATATATATATATATATATATGAATTTTGTGTTTATTTGTGAAATAATTAAGCTCAGGTAGTCATTCCAGTTTTTTCCACCTACATGCTTTGTAGGACATTTGAAAGTTTTACAGATGCAGATTTATATCTCCTATTCCCCTTTCATATTTATCCAAAACAAGAAACCCACAAAGAGTCACTTGCGTTCTCTCTCTCTCTCTCTCTCTCAGTTGGGCTTGCATCCTTTAAAACTAATGATATTCAAAGTTTGAGCCTTTGAGACTATTTCCAAAACCTGTCACCTAACAACAGCAAGAAGTTCCTAGAATGTATTCTCAAAAGTGACACAAATGCCTTTTGAATTATTGAGAACATGACTTTCCTTTAGTAGTACCAAGTCATGAGAACAAATTATCATTTTTAAAAAACCACTTACTGTGATCCCTGAGTGATTTTCCCTAGGCTGGCCTCAGCCTCAGGAGTATAAAATGAACTGAGCTGGAAGAAAAGGACTAACAGGGCCAGACCATGGGGAGTGGGGGATCTCAGTTGCTAGGTTACCACTTGAATCAATCCAAGTGGTCCCAGAGGGGTATCAGATACAGGACAGGTCCTTCTCTCTGGCCCACTAAGTTGAGGGCCCTCTCAAAGGAAGGGGGTCAAAAAGTGGGGGAGGGGGTCCCGATCACTCACACTAGACACAAGTAAAGAAATGAGGCAAAAGCACAAAGAAACAGCCCTGTATTTCTAAGACCATTCAAGTCTCCTTCATTAATTGGCTTCCCCCCAAAAGAAAGATTTCTTTATTAAGAAATACCAGAGAGTGAAAAACCCCCAACACATACACATTTGTAGACTCACACAAAAGTGCAGAGATTTACATTGCATTTAAGTTAGAAAATAGATTTAAAAACAAAATACTTCTTTTCCCCAACAAAGTAAAGAGATTTGGTCAGTAGGAAAAGGGGTATTAGGAGTAAAGGCAGGATGGTCAGGATGGGAAGAATGGAATCTAGCTGCTATAGAATTAGAACCCACCTCTAACCCAACCCCACTCCTGGGGGAAAATGTGGACGGGGAGATGATGATCTCAGCCAGGGCCAGGAGGGCTCCAGAGTCAAATGGACATAAGTTCCACCCCACCCCCAGAGGTTTTTGGATCAGTGCCAACCCTCCTGGCCTGGGGAAATAGGGTGCATAGGAAGCATGAGGAATGGGAAGGAAAGGGGGAGTTGGAGAGAGTGTCAACCATCGAAAAGATCAAACAATATAAGGCCCCTTTCCCCAGGGTAAGATCAATCCTTCAATCTCTCCTCTGATCAGAGCTCAGACTAGGGACAGTCTTGGCTGGTGCATGGTATAAATGGGAAAGATCTTGAGGCCAAGGTCTTAAATACAGATTTATAAAGGAAAAGAAAGTGGGCTGGGGATATGAAAAAACAAACATTTTTAAAAATCATTTCACACTACAGATAAGATATTTCCACTTGACCCTTCACATCAGAAAGAAAAACTTCTCTGAGTGACCTAGGGTCAGCAGGAAAGTGGCTGAGGTAAGTTGAGGGAGGAGAGAGATCCATCCTGGCCCAAGAGAAGAGATAGGCTGAGACAGGATGGGCTGAGTACTGACTAGAAAGAGTTCACACGAATGACAGTTTGACTGGAAAAAAATAATAATTTCCAAACTCTCCAGGCTTGGCCTTATTTTGAAATAACTAAAACCTAACTGAAAAAAATAAAATTGAGAGAGCCAGAAAAGGAATGGGAAAATAGAAGCAAATAGGAGAGGGATATGAATCAATCTCTCTCCCATCTCTCTCTCTCATGTTAAATTCAAATCTTGCTACAAGGAAAATAGGGAGACACAGAGAAAAATCTGGGAGCAGCCAAATTTCACTAATTCCGATTAACTGGGAAGAGTGAGCTAGGAATCAGTAAGGAGTCTTGATTACAGATTATTTGAAAAAAAAAATATATACCATCACTTGTAAAAGACCACTAAAATGAAATATTTCCAAGGGAAGGCCCTGGTGAGCCTGCTTTAATAACCAAGACTCATTTGCAATAAACAGTGCCCATCTGCTTGCAAACAATATCCTAATGAAGAACTTGTTCTCTTAAGGATAATTTCTCAACCATCCTAATCTTGTTCACACTGTATATTGCTTAGAAGTCCTTTTGTCATAGTCCAGAGTGAGATAAACTTCGGCCCAGAAGGTAGTAGAGATCAATGGAGAGTTTGAGCTTGGGAGCTATCTCTCCAACCCAAGGGTACCCTGGAAAATGGAAGTATGGGTAGTAACAAGCAACCCTTCCAACCCCCACCCCCCACCCAACACACAAACACATTCACATCCCCATGGTGGTTCTTGAAATGGAAGGGGAAGGAAGAGGCAGGCAGTTTGCATTAGACACAGTTTAATTGCCTTCAAATAGATTAAAAGTTCTGGTTTACACTCCCCCCATCCCCATAAATCATCCAGACAGGACCCTGGCTTAGAAAGAGAAAAACACAGGTGCTTTAGGAAATATAGCCACATATAATACATAAATCTTCTTCCCTGAAATAGTGCAGGTCCTGAGCAGAGCTTACTGGGGGCCACAGCCCACCCCCAGGGTGAAGTGGCTCTGGGACTCTGCCGGTGGAAGTGCTGGAAGAGTGGGACTTGGAGGAAGCCCCTGGTGTGGTTACCATTGCCCAAGGTGGGCTGAGGCCTTGGAGTGGGTTACCCGGGAGGGCAGCAGTGCTGGGCTTTCCCTCACTCAGCCAAGGCTTAATGGAAGTACTGGTTAGCCTTTTTTTTTTCTCTTTTTTTTTTCTTTTTCCTTTTTTTTTTTTTTGAGGGGACATAGAGGGAGAGGAGAGGAGAGAAGAGCCTCTCTGTGCCTTGATTTCCCCATTTGTGCATTCAGGGCCTCTGTAGGCCTCACACAGGGAATCTGAGGGGGTAGTGTTTAAGTGAGCACTTGGGTTTCCTCTGAGGAAAAGGAATCACCAAAGTGTAGACTTTTATTACTGCTGTTCCCGCTCCTATTGGGAGCAAGAGTAAAAAGAAAAAAAAAATTTAAATGGGCTAATGAGAAAGGAGGAGAGATGAGGCAGAGAGTGTGAGGGGCTATGCCATTGGCATCTTGTCAATTCTTATTGAGAATAGCACAGGTATTAAAAGTTCCTGGAGAATCTACGAGAAATGTAAATTTTTAGCTCTACTAAAACTACTTACATATATCTAATGGGGAAAGAGTGGGACATGGGTGTTAGAGAGTGGATGGGGGACAAAGGAGAAAAGCTACATGAATAAATACAAGAGGAAGGTACCTGCCCCATTCCTAAAAGGATTGGCTGGCAATGCTGGCACTTTGTAGCCAGGAGAATCCTCCAACCTCACTCTCCATCCTTATCAATTCTGAAGGAGAAGAACCCAGTTAGGATTCCCTGGCCAGAGGTTTCTGTGTCTGCTTCTGGACTCAGGACATGCAGCATCTTGAGGACTTGAGCCAGTCTCAAGAATCGTTAGCCCCATAATGAGACCAATGACCCCAAGCAGGAGAGCTGGGATCTGGTGGGGAGAGGAGTCCAAGGAGACCCCATGGCTAAGGCCATGGGAAATAAGTGCCAGGGTCCAAAAGACCCATTTGTCCAGTTGCCAGAGGTGACTGACATCTTCTGCCACTGCCTTGAGTCCAGAAATTTAAAAAAAAAAAAAGCTTGCAGCAAGAAAATGCCAGTGTGCAATTGGGTATGTAAAGACCAAAGGAAAACAGTAAAAGGGACAGCTTACTTGCTCTCTGTCTCGGGTATATCTTCTCCCCTGAAATCTCTCATAGCCCTAATTAAACACAAACAAAAGTCTCTTCCATAGATAGGCTACTTCTCAGCTTCAGCTGCATCCTGTGGTGGCTCTGGGGGCTCTGGAGGTGGCATCTCTTCCGGAGTGCTGTTGTCCTCCGGCATCTCATTGGAGTTCAGGTGTTCTGTTGGGGCCTGAAAGGGAAAAGATATCAGATTCAACACAAGGCTCTCTCTCAAAATCCAAAAGCAGATAATCCAGACCCTGATCTCTTCCTCAAAAGCTCTCCACCACACTGATGCTATAGATATGCAGCCACTATCACTAAACTCAGCCCAAGACCAGGCTACACATTCTCAGCAGATTCAACTGAAGCTTACTTGAGTTCTCTCCTCAACTGGCTGTTGTGGACAGATGCTTCCATTAATATTTGTGATAATAATAATGATAAGGACCACAAATAATTAGATGGCCCCTTTCACAACAGAATGTTATAATGTACTTGACCAAAAAGTGCTGACCCAATGGTTCTCAACCCTGTTTCTGCCCTTACACAGAACTCACTAGAATACTGACTCCAAATCAAAGAAGGTGGGGTTTCAGATGATCATATATAGTTTAAAAATGTCCCCTAATTATTCTAAAATACCACATTTCACCCACATTCAACTGAAAGTCACTAACTTAAATTGCTATGGTTTGGGACCACACTCATCAGAAAAATGATATTCAAAATGATGACACTAATACATAAATATCAGTATGCTGTACATTAAAATGAAAGACAAAGTAGAGAACAATGACTTACTTTACAAAAACTATTCAAATTAAAATAGGACTCTATTTTAAAATAAAGTCTAAATTGACTAGAAATCTATTAGAATAAATAATTTCAGCAAGATTTCAGGATACAATAATAATATACAAAGATCAATTTGTGTACTCCCAATGAAAAATTCCAAGAAGAAAATTAGGAAAACAATTTAATTTATAGTAACATCAAAAGGAATAAAATACTTATAAACAAATGTAGCAAAAGAAGTGTAAAATTTAGCCAAATATGGTGGCACAAGTCTGTAATCTCAGCAACTAGGGAGGCTGAGGCAAGAGGATCATAACTTCAAGGCTAGCCTCAACAACTTAGGGAGGCCCTATCTGAAAATTTTAAAGAAATAATTAAAAGGACTGGGGATGTAGCTCAGTAGTATAGTTCCCCTGTATTTAATCCCCAGTATTGTTAAAATATAGAATAAAATAAAAATCTTTAAAAATAAGTGTTCAGGGCTGCAGTTGTGACTCAGTGGTACAGTGCTTGCCTAGCACGTGTGAGGCCCTGGGTTTGATTCTCAGCATCACATATAAGTACATAAAATAAAGGTCTATTGACAACTAAAAATATATATAAAAAAAGAATAAGTTTTCAACTCTGAAAACTATGAAATATTATTGAAAGAAATCAAAGACCTAAACAAACAAAAAGATAACTCATGTTAGTAACTCAGAAAACTTAATCTTGTTAAGATGGCAATATTCCCCAAATTGACCTATAGATTCACTGCAATCCCTATTAAAATGTCAACTGACTTCTTTGCAGAAATGGATAAGCTGATCCTATGACTCATATGGAAATTCAAAGGACCTAGAATAGTCAAAGCCATCATGAAAAAGAAGAATATAGTTGAAGGACTCATATTTCCTAATCTCAAAACATACTACAATGCTAGAGTAACCAAGACAGTGTGGTTTAGGCATAAGAAAAGACATATTGAAGAATAGAATTGAAAGTTCAGAAACAAACTCTAACATTTACAGATAAATGCTTTTCAACAAGGGTAACGATAATTCTATAGAAAAAAGAATAGTCTTTCCAACAACTGATACAAAGATAACTGGATATCCATAGGCAAAAGAAAGAATGCAGACCCCCTACCTCACACCATATATAAAAATTAACTCAAAATGGATCAAAGAGCTAAAATGTTAAGAGCCAAAAACTATAAAACTCTTTCAGGAAATCAGGCATAAATCTTCATGACCTTGGATTAGGCGAAGGTTTCTTAGATATGTCACCAAAAACACAAGCAACAACAACAGAAAAGATAAACTGGACTATATCAAAAGTTAAAACTTTTGTGCTTTAAAGGTTACACATCATCAAGCAAGTGAAAAGACAACCCACAGAATGGGAGATATTTGCAAATCATATATCTCGAAGGGACTTGTATACAGATCATATAAAGAACTCTTATAACTCAATAATAAAAAACACAAATAATTCAATTTTAAAAATGGACAAAGCTTATAAATAGACTCTTCTCCAAAGATATACAAATAGCCAATACCTACAATGGAAAGACACACAACATCATTAGTCATTATGGAAACACAAATGAAAACCACAATGAGATACCTCTCTACACCCACTAAGATGACTAAATCCAAACGTCAGATAATAAAGGTTACTAAGGATGTAGAAAAACTGAAATACTTATACACTGCTAGTGGGGATGTAAAATGGCATACCCACTTTGGAAAACAATGCAGCAATTTCTCAAAAGGTTAAACACAGAATTACTATATTCACCAGTAATTTCACTCCCCATCAAAAGAAATGAAAGCTTGTATTCATGCAAAAATATTGTATAAAATTGTACAAATGTTCATAACAGCATTACTTACAATAAACAAATGGTAGAAACAGCCCAAAAGTACATCAACTAATGAATGGACAAATAAAATATGATACAGCTAAATAATGGAATATTATTAAGCTATATAAAGGAATGAAGTACTGCTTCCTGCTGCAATATGGATGAATCTTAAAAATACTGTATTAAGTAAAAGAATCCAGTCACAAAGTACCATATATTGTGGAATTCCAATTATGCAAAATGTACATATTAGGTAAATCTAAAGCAAAAGAAAGTAAATTTCAGTGGCTGTCTTGGGAGGGGGCTAAAGGAGTCGGGAGGAAAGAGAGAGTGGCAGCTAATAGTACAAAGTTTTTTGACAGGTAGTTTAATAAAATGCTTTTAAATTAATTTTTTCAAGGATCATACAACTCTGAATATACAATACCAGGGAACTGTACATTTTAAATAGAGATTATATGGTAGGTCAATCATATCTCAATAAAGCTCTTAAATATATATAAACAATACATAAATAAATGGAAGGAAGACCAGAAGAGTGGAAAAAAGGGAACAGGAGGAAGGAAGAGGGGAGGGAAAAGTGAAGTACCTGGGAATGTATTGGAGCAAATTATGTTATGTGCATATATGAATATGTTACAATGAGCCCCACCACTGTGTATAACTATAACACACTAATAAAACATTAAAAACAAAGTTCAAATAATAACTTTTTGGATATTTTATGAAATATATACTGAGCAGGACTGCTGGGACACTTTCCACATCTACATGTTCCAGCAATGAAGTGCCCTCCGACCAAGGTAAGCACATCACCAACTCTAACATGGCCCCCTGACCCCACCTTTGCTTCTGTAACACTTTATGCTTCCTTCATTAAGGTATGTTTCACAACTTTGAGCAATGACCTTTTTTGTTATCCCTTGACCCCACCAGACAATGAGCTCCTTGAAAGCAGGAACATAATTTGCCTTGTTTACTGGTGTGTCCCCAGTACCTAGTACAGTAGCTGGCACACATTAGTTGCTCAATATATGTCAAAGAAATGAATAAACCTTAATCTACCTCAAGGGCACAAAGAGCTAGAGGCAATGTCAAGCAGAAGCAGAGACAGGGTTGCTAGAGAGATAAGGATATGAAATTGCCTAATTGTAACTCTAAGCTATAAAGTTAATCTACATGCTTTCTATCACAGACTCAACCATAAATCAGGAACACTTACTGGGCTCTGTGGCAAGAGGCTGCTATTGGTCTCTTGAGTACTAGGAGGTCGACTTCCACTTTCCTCCAGTGGCAAAATACCCCTTCGATCCAGCACACTGAAGGAGACGAGAGTTAATCAAGGACTTGGCATTCTCTCCTCCACCCACCCAGGCCACTGAACCCCGTTGTGTATATAGGAAATATAAATCTGTCCTTTGGCAATTTAGCCTGATCCAAGAACACACCTGATATTTCCCATTCATTTTTTTTTCCACAAACCAGTGAATGCCATAATAAATAAGGAACAAACAAATGAAATGACAGTAAAATATGATCTCTTCAAAATAGCCAGCCCATGGTCTATGTTCCATGTAGATATGGCACCAGACCTATTTGACACTGAGAGTTCACATGCAGAAGAATGCACTGGACCAGGTAACAGAATAAGGTTACATTGCTCATCCCAAGGATCTCAGGACATTTTAGTCTCTTGAGTACCTGGGAGGCAAGGGGCCACACAGGACTTCACAGCAGTTCTTCACAATGTTGCCATGGCTGTAGGGATTCTGGACACGATTCTTCCCTGTCCATGATCCTTTGATCTACAAAATAAAAGCCAAGGCTTTCATTAAAAACTATGCTGAAGAAATACATGTGGCATGGTATGATGAGAAAGTTCAGGAGGTGGATGGCGGCAGCGGTTGTACAAGGATGTGAATATACTCAATGCCCCTGAACTGTACATTTAAAAATGGTGAAGATGGGGCTGGGGTTGTAGTTCAGTGGTTGAGCACTCACCTCAAATTTGGAAGGCACTGGGTTTGATCCTCAGTGCCACATAAAAATAAATAAAGGTATTATGTCCATCTACAACTAAAAATTTTTTTAAATGGTGAAGATGGCATATCTTGAGTATATTTTATCACAATAAAAAAGAAATACACTGTATAGAGACATGAAAATGTTCATAAAAGAGGAAAAAAGCAGATAAATTATTTTATTGAAAAATACATAATGTATGCATAAACAAACATGAGAATAAGTCCAGACAAGTTTGGAAGACTATATATCATGACATTAAGAAAGTGACAGAAGGTAAAATTACAGGGATTCATTTTCTCCTTTCTGCTCATCTGTATTTTCTGATTTTTCTACAATGAATGTGGATTAACTGGCACCTTTTTTAAAGCAAGAATTTATTCAGTGGTATTGCCCCTTTCCACTCCAAATCCAGAGGCATCTGGCTAACTTTTAAGGACCTATGAATAGTTAAAGACCTTACACCCACCCAACTCTTTGACCTCTTCTTCCTAATGCCCTACAGGCATTTAGCGCCAAAGCAGTCTGCCTTCCACACATCTGATTTAAGGATCTTCTACACCAGATTTCTGCTCACCTCAATCTTCCAGGCCCTGGAGACTGGTTCTCTAGCAAGTAAAATGAGAATAGGCTTTTGGGAGAATGAGAATATCTGATGAGGAGAAAAAGAAAGTTGACTCACGTCTTCATTGGTTGTCTGATTGAGAGCCACGAGGAAAGTGTGAAATCCAGTCAGTCCCACGACGGACCAGAGTGTGAAGAAGCAAATGAGGACTTCTAGAACAGTGATGTTAGGTTAAGGAATGTTGAAGAAGTCACACCAGGGAAGCTGAAACCTCAGATCATATTTATGATACCAGTCACACCATCTTTACCTCTTAGAACAAATGTCACAAAAAGCCAAATATCCAGATGAATTCCTTAAGGTAAAAGATTTCCCTTCATTCCCTACTGAACAAATCTCTACCATCACTAGTGTATTTAAGTGTTTGCCTGTTTTTTTGTCTTTCACTCTTTGGAGGGGGCCAAGGCTAAACAATATTGGCCATCGCTGGTAGTATAAATCTCATCAAAAAATAAGCTTTTTAAGTGAAACATTAATGGGAAAGAAACAACATGTGATTTATAGAAATCTACATCTCCTTTTCAGAAACATAGTTACTGTACAAAAGAAGTTTTGATTATAACAGGAAGATGGGACTTCCAGTAAGATATTGAGGCAAGTACAACCCACTAAAGGAAAGAGGTCACATCTGGGAAAAGGAGTTGGGAAAGAGGCAGATGGCAAGGGGATGAGGGAAAGACCTCCCTTTGAGCCCTGGCCATATTCCATTCTGGTTGCTACCACTAAGACTACACTATTTTAAAAAAAAATTAGGCTTTGGCACTCTCTAATGTCTGAAAACTAGATGGTGGGAGAATTGACAGGAGATGACATGCTGGAAAGTAGTTTAAGAAGGTTTCGCAGGGACATACTGCCAGGGGAGGATATGTTCCAGGAGTTTCTTTCAACGTCTCCAAGAAGCCAATTTTCAGGGATTCTGTGAAATTGGGAGGAGGAGTAGACAGAAAAATTAGAGACTTTAGTAGTCTGACAAAGTATCCTAGTGCCCACTCATTTCCTTCCCTCCATATCCCATGTTCCACATTGGCAAAAGAGTGGCTCACACTCAAGCAAGGGTGAAGAGTCTCCTTTACAAGCTGGCACTCTTTTGACTGAGGAGTTCACATTTCCAATGCAGGGCCAGGCAAAGACTAAAGTTGAGCAGAAGCCAACCATCAGGCTTCCATCTCTTTTCCCAGCCCCCAAATATGGACATGTATGGAGATATTAACAGATGAAAGAAACCAGAAACAGTCAAGAAAAATCCTCTCTCGGGCTGGGGTGGTGGCTCAGTGACAGAGCACTTGCCCAGCATGTGTGAGGCACCAGGTTCGATCCTCAACACCACGTATCAATAAATAAAATAAAGGTCTATTAGCAACTAAAAAAAAATTTTAAAAAAAGAGAAAAATCCTCTCTCCTCACCTATCAGGGTCCCTCCCTTGTGCAAAATCCATCTCAGAGCTCCTATCTTTCCAAAAAATTGTTTTGATCAAGTTTACTCCCTTAACTCCACATCCCACTTGCCCTTAGATTGTTGGTATGTGTATATGATGTGGGTGTGTATTTTCTATCTCCAAAGTGAAACCCAAGTTACTAAAAGACATTTCTTGGGTAGAATCCATTCTGCTGCCCAGCACAAGGGGGAAAAAAGGATGCAGTGAGCCAAAATACATCCCCAAACTTTGAGATCACTCCCGAAATGCCCAGTACTCTGGATATAGACCAGTAATTATGGCCCTGGTCTTCAACACAGGGTCAGAGAGAAGGCTGAAACACTTGGTAAATAATTATTGATGTGCGCTGAATTCAGCAGCCTGGCTCCAGGGCAAACAGTAGTGCTCATTTCTAATCAGACCTGAGGTGCTTCATAATGGCAAAAGTCCCATCAGAAACCCAACCACCCCCCAAAGCTGTCTTCACCTCTTCTCCCTCCCTACCACCACTCCAGTAACTGCCCTGCATACTCACTGAGGGCCACATAGACGATGTTGAAGGCGAAGACATAAATTGTGAGGAGGGAGAGAGAAAGGATGAAGAGGTAGAAGTAACGGTAGTTCCTCTTTCCAACACAGTTCCCCACCCAGGGGCAGTGATGGTCAAATCGCTCTGTGGGAGAAAGACAGAGTCCAATGCCAAAGCCTCCAGAACAAAGCAACCCCACCGTTCACCTAATTCAAAGACTCCAGTCATTGCCTTCAATTGTGAAAAACATGTATTTTCAGCCTTTACTTTTTCAAAATATTTTCACAGTCATTTCATTTGATCCCCATAATCACATGGGAAGTTAAAAGAACACCCTTGTCCCCATTTTACAGATGAAGAAACTAAGGCTCTAAGTGGTTAAGTCATCTCTCTCACTCTGCCAGTTAAGAGCTGAGACATTGCTTTTCCAATTAAAAAACTTTAACAGGTGGGCCTCCTAAGTTCAGGAAGAATAAATAGTTGAAAATAGGAAAGGAAATTTTGAAAAATTAGTAGTGTAGTTTTTTCTTGATCTTAAACATATAAAATTATAGTATACTTAAATAGTGTGGCATAGCTCAGTAGAATGGGAAAGCCCAGAAACAGATTCTAGAACCTGTAAGAATTTACCATGTGGGGGAGGCATGGGAAAAATGGAGAAACTATGATTGGGCTAAGGGGAGGGAGGGTGGGGAGGGTGCATGGGGGCAGGAAAGACTGTGTAATGAGAAGGACATCATTACCCTAGGTACATGTATGACTGCACGTATGATGGGATGCTACATCATACTGAAATGAAAAGTTGTGCTGCAATTGTGTACAGTGAATCAAAATGCATTCTTCTGTCATATATACCTAATTAAAATTAATAAATTATTTTTAAAAGGATTTACTATGTAATAAATACTGCATTACTGGGCTGGGGAGGTGGCTCAAGCGGTAACACGCTCACCTAGCATGCGCGGGGCGCTGGGTTCGATCCTCAGCACCACATAAATGTAAAATAAAGATATTGTATCCACCTAAAACTTAAAAATAAATATTTTTAAAAAATAAATAAAATAAAATATGTATTAAAGCCAGACATGGTGGTGCATGCCTGTAATCCCAGCATCTCGGGAGAATAAAGCAAGAATATCATGAGCTCAAAGCCAGCCTCAGCAACTTAGCGAGGTCCTAAAGCAATTCCGTGAGACCCTGCCTCAAAAATTAAAAATAAATAAATAAATAAAATGGGCTGGGTATGTGGCTCAGTGGTTTAATGTCTCTGAGTTCAATACCTGGTACTAAAAAAATAAAAAATGAGTTTTGATTTATAGAATCCTATTCTACATATAGATTTACACCATATAAAGCAAAATGCATTTCTCCACACTTTGGCTAATGAATTGGCTAGTCAGAAGAAAGCAAGGACCATGGACATGCTGCATGGCATGTAGAAATGTTGGAATTATGCCCAATAATAATAATATAAGCAATGTTACACATGTGCCTATCAATTAGCACATTGCTTGTTTCTGATCCTTCCCAGGGTTTACCACATAGTAGGCAGTGTTTACAAGGAAGCCACATACATATGGATGGAAGCATAGGTGAATGTACACCTACACTGGCCGCACTACAGCAGAAACAGAGAGAAAAATGAGGGCTTTTTTTATATCTATTCCAGCTTCATCTCATGCTAATCACATGAGCTTATACAAAGGTACTTCACTATTTCCTCATCTGTTAAATGGGGATAATACCAACTTTGGGGTGGGGGTATTATAAGTACAGTACCTAGTGCATAGTAGGAACTAAATAAATGCTACCACCTTTCTTCTTGGGAATACTACTGTGACATAGGCCTCCCTTCCTCAATACTGCCCTCCAGTGGACAAGGATGCTCCTCCCTCTATGTAAGGAGGGCCCCACATGACCTGGATCCAGTGAGGAAATCTAGATTTCAGAAACAGGTAAAGTTTATTTTCCTATTTACCAAAGATTTTGGGGTTTTCTTTGTTTGTTTCCATTTTAGACTAGAGGATTTTAAATTATGATTTGGTCTACACAGGTATAATCGATTTACCATTGTGCAGTAGCTTCTTTCCTATCTAAATCTACCTTGTTTCCCAGCTAAATCTATCTTCTCACCTCCATTGACTTTTTTAAAAAAATATTTTTATTAGTTGTTGATGAATTTTTTAATTTTATTTATTTATTGGTATGTGGTTCTGAGAATCAATCTCAGGGCCTCACACATGCTAGGCAAGCGCTCTAACACTGAGCCACTATCCCAGCCCTCCACTGTCTTTTCCCAAGAACTGGTGATCACCCTGACCCCCTGATTCAATTCATTTTTCCCCCCAGGCAATATCCTGTTGGTTTTACTCACCCACACAGTTGTCACAAATGCTGCAATGGGAGGCCCGAGGAGGCCGGAAGATCTTACATGTATAACAGTATTTCAGTTTTACAATCTGGTTGTTTATCTGAAAATTCTTGATACGAGGGGGTGGTCGCTGGCCCTGGGGCACTGCACCATTGGTAGCTTCTGTAAATCAGTAAAGACAGTTTAACCTCACTACTAGCCATTATGTAAGCACCAAAATCTCACCATCTCTCTAAAAGCAGTGAGGATCATCAAAAGTTCCCTAGGTCTACTACCTTCTCCAGGTGACCATTTCTAGACAGAATTTCAACATCACACAGTGTCCCCCTCCACCAAACTTCACTAAGCACCATGAAATTTTGTTATGGACTTGTGAAAAAAGAGTTTCCTCAAGTTTTATTGTTGTTGTTGTTTGTGTGTTTGATTACAAAGAAAAACATTCATGGAAGGAAATGCAAAATATACAAAAACATCCAACTTCACTAATAATCAGATAAATAAAATCAAAACACAAAGACAACATTTCCACCTGTAATATTAACATATCAAAAAGAATAAAAATACCTAACATAGGCAAAAGTGGGAAAAAGTCATTTTCATACCTTACCATTGAGCAACATAGAAGCAGCTACCAAATTTTAAATATGTATAATCTTTGACCTAGCAATTCCACTACTAGGAGCTTGTCAAAATTACAAAGACAAATGCAAAAGATGTTCATACAAGATTTTCCAGGCATGATGGTACACACCTGTAATTCTGGCAACTCAGGAGGTTGAGACAGGAGGCTCACAAGTTTGAGGCTTGCCTCAGCAACTCAGCAAGGCTCTAAGCAGCTTAGCAAGACCCTATCTCAAAATTTAAAATAAAAAGGACTGGGTATGTGGTTCAGTGGTAAAGTGCCCCTGGGTTCAATCCCTGATACCAAAGAAAAAGATTTTTCTGAATCCTTTTTGATAGTGAGAAACTAAGTAACATCAGTGTCCCAATAGAAAGTTGGTTAAATAAATAAATGCACAGAATGGTACGTTATGCAGCCATTTAAAACAATGTAGATGAATGGTAGCACAAGAAAATATAGTATATTGCAAAATTCTAAAAATCTATAGGATTAAGACACTATCTTACAAAAAAGACACTGTCTTACAAAAATAAAATACATGCATAAAAAGGTAATAGAAAAAATAATTAGTAAAATAAGAATAATATATGTTTTTGAAAAAATATATATAAGGAAAAATAAAAATTACTGACAGTCTCTCAACTCAGAAATAGTCACACCTTTTGGCATATCTTCTTCTCTTAACAGATAAATAAATATTCATGACTTTTAACAATTTGAGATCATACAAATGCAATCTTGTACTATGAATTACTTACTTAACATTAAACTGGGAGCACTTACCCAGGGTTGTTAATTTTTTCTAAAACAGCATTATTAACAATATTCCATGATATGCATATACTATGATTTATTTACAATTTCATATTGTTAGGCATTTGTCTCTGAGTTTTTACTATTTAAATGATACTGCAGGCAAAAACATAGAACATTGTAGACAAAAGCTTCAATTTTCTTTGATCACTCAATCCTAGTCCCATTCTTCCTTCCCCAAGAATATATTCATGTGTTAAAATTAATTTCTAAAGCATAAAGGCATATAGATATCTGAGCAGTAACATATGAAGTTTCTAGCATTAAAATAGCTATATTCATATTAAAAAGAAAAACGATACACTAAAAGTACTTCTAAGGTGATTTGTTTAAAATATTTGATTATGTCTTCTAGCTAAACCTTTAGCAAACCCTTAATTACCAGGTCAAAGGGTATAAACTCTTAAAGCCTGTGTTACTTATTGCCAAACTGCTTCCCAGACAGATTTATGAATTTTCATGCTGCCCTTCCGCAGCATATGAGAGTCCCTGTCTCGTTGTGCCCTTGCCATGCAGTATAATTCTAAAAACAGAATATTTTTCAATTCACTTTGATTTTAAAAATATCTACCATATGGAACATTTTTCCTTTTTCTGCAGAGTGGGGTAGGTGCTGTGAAATCAAACAATAACAGTGTGTCACAAGTCTTAAAAGGATGGGGACAGCTATTCATTAGGGGATGATACAAGTGCCAGCATGCCACCTTAATATTCCCTTGCATATGCTTTACATGAGGGCACCTGGGAAACAGAGTTCATGGTTCACTCTCCCCAAGAGGCGCTATGAGGAAAAGGAGTCACAGGAATTCTCCCCCGCCACACACACACACACACACACACACACACACACACACACACAGAGCATACCCAGTACAGGGATGAATGTAAACTGACAAATACTTGCTAATATAAACATACACATTAACTAAAGAATGTACTCTTCTATCTGGAGAAACATGCTAAATGCAGAGGTCACAACATGACAGCTTGAATCTGGGCCCTAGGCCCAGTGATGGGGCAGAAAAGAGCTATCTTTGTTGCTGACCTGCTGTGAGATGTTAAGAGACAAGTTAAGGTACTGCCTTGACCCTCAGTTTCTCCATATGTAAATGGAAAGGGGAAATATAGAAGAATGACAAGACGGGGGTGGGGACAGCACTAACAACTCCTCCTCACTGTCTTGCTCTTAACTAATCCCAGTTCTACCCTCTGGTCTCCCCAGAACTGCAGCTATGCCAACACACCTCATCTCTGCTTTCTTTCCACTATTCCCACCCTCATCCCAACCCAAGGTAGTTCTAGCTCACATGCACACAAATCAATATCTCCTTAGCTCAACAAATGCAGGCTTGATTTTTCAAAAAGGAATCCACTAAGAAGCTGGGGGGGGAAACACAGATAAAACAAATAAAATTCTTTTGTATTACACAAAAGAATGGAAGCCTGGAAAGCAGCCTCAAAGAACTAAAGACTAGCCACAGGTAGGCACTCTACTGGCATGGCATAGCTTCTTAGGCTTAAAATCATGGGTTCCTTTCTTCTACTCTATCTGGCTGAGATGCTGACTCAAGCTACTGAGGTCCCAAACTTGAGAACCATTTAGATAGTCATCGCTGCTGGTTGCGTGGACTCCCATTACCTTCCCAGTACTTGTATTGCAGACTCCTTTCCCACTGTGAGCTCCCAGGATATCCCCTCTCTAATCCTGGGATGTTCTGCTTCAATTCACAAAACCATTCTGGCTCCTCATGGTGTAGCATTTTAATCTCTTTCCCAAAGATTCTTCATCTAAGCAGCAGACTGCACACTACTGAGCCTGCAATCGCTTCCCTTACCCCTCCTGGAATTCTCAGTGGTTCCTGGCAGTACAGCTGCCCCTTTTCACCTCTGCAAGAATTCCTAAAGTCTCTGTAAGAATTCCTAAAACAGGAATTCTTGATCCGGGATGCTTTGGAAGATCTACAAATCCCCGAAATTACATCCAAAATTATATGTATGTGCACGCATATAAAAATAGTTTAGCCGGGCACAGTGGCACATGCATGTAATCCCAGCAACTCAGGAGGCTGAGGCAGGAGAATCAAGAGTTCAAAGCCAGCTTCAGCAACTCAGTGAGGTCTTAAGCAACTTAGCAAGACCCTGTCTCAAAATAAAAAAGTAAAAAGGACTGGGAATGTGGCTCAGTGGTAAAGCACCCCTGGGTACAATACTCAGTAACATAAAAAAAGAATAGTTAATGGAGGAAGGTTTACAGCATTTGTCAAAATAATAATACTGGTGACCTCCCCAAGAAAAGTAAAAAATGAGGGCTGGGGTTGTGGCTCAGTGGTAGAGCGCTCACCTAGCACGTGCGAGGCCCTGGGTTTGATCCTCAGCATCCCACAAAAATAAATAAACAAAATAAAGGTATTGTGTACAACTAAAAAATAAATATTAAAAAAAGAAAAGTAAAAAATGATCCTCGTCAGCACAATGCAGCCAGACTTTGTTAATAAATCCTTCCTGCAATGCAATCCAACATAGGGAAGACAAAGCATGTGACTTTAGAATCTTGCTATACCTGCCTTACCAAATTCACAGGGTGGTCAGGATCTCAGAAAGAAAAGGCTAGAATAGCAGACTGAATCTGCAACCACTATTATGATTCCACCCCTTACTGAATAGGGCCATCCACTGCACAGCAGTTTGCCAGCTGGTTGGGAGACTCACCTATCTCCATTTCTATGAAAGCTGCTTCATCTGGTAGGGCCCGAGGAATCACTCCAGGGTCACTGAAACTGGTCCTCAACAGTGTGGCCATGGAGAAAAGGAAGAGCATAGCAGCAAACACAGGGATGGCAGGAGACAGCTGGACAGCCAGGTAGCGACACCTGAAGAAAGCAAGCAATTCAACATTTAATTATACCTATCTTAAGGTTATTTCCAATTGTAACAAGTATGTCAATCTGGTATCCACAACAAAATCAGCAGTACCTCATGGGCAGGGACCATGCTATTTACTTCTCTTGAATTACTCTAAGCACCTAACACATAGTATGAGTTCAACAAATACTCAATTGATTGATGCTACCTATGGTCTCAAAGGACCTCCCTTATCCCCAAGCTAACTTCTGCCTTCTATCAACCTACTGAGAGCCACAATTCCTCTGCCTCAGCAAAGGATCACAACCACTAAGGACAGGCAAACAACTGAGCCTGGATTTGCAAGCACCAAAGTTGATCCCACTCTGGGAATGTCCAGGGCTTTTAATGCCCACTCATCTGGCATTAGGGTTAAGCCTGATGAGGAGGGAGAGAAAAGGATCAATCAGGAAGTAAGTTCACAGTGTCAGAGGGTATCTTAGCATGCTTCAAGACCAGTGAAAAGATTCAGGGTGGAGCCGGGGTTGTGGCTCAGTGGTAGAGCGCTTGCCTAGCATGGGTGAAGGGTTCAATCCCCAGCACCACATTTTTAAAAAAAGACTCAAGGCTGCTGATGAGCTGAAAATATTCATTCCTCAATTAGCTCAACTAGTAGGTGGTTAATGACCATCAGCAAGTGAAAAAGAAAACTATATGTCCTTAGAAACACTTCACAAAGGCATATTCACTCCTCTCTTTCCTCATAATACACCTCTTCCTCTCTGGCTATCTCAACCTTTCAGGTCCTAGAGACATTCCTGTCATCATCACAATCACAATTTATGGAGTATTCACCATATGCCAGGCACTGTATTAAGCTCTTTAAATACATATCTCATCCAATTCTCACCCTAAATCTATGAGGTAGATTCCCTTACAACCTATGTGATAGATGAAGAATTTGGAACTTAGAGAAGTCTTGCCTCCTCCAAAAGGCCTATGCTAAGCTCATCTCTCCTTTCTCTACTCCCTGTACCCTCACTGCCAGAGCACTGTATTATTTCCTAGCTGTTTCTCAGCATGTTGATTACATATCTCCCAACTAGACTTCATAAGAGCAAGAAACTGGTCTTACTGGACCAGAAACTCTTGGGTTTGAATCCTGGCTCTACCGGCTCCTACTTGGGTGAGTTAATTAACTTCAGTCTCCTTTTCAATAAAAGGAGGATAATAACAGTACTTTACTGGGTCACCATGTGGATAAAATGTACTCACATAAAGTGCTTAGAGCTGCACTTGACATATAGTAAATGCTAAATAAATGTCAGCCATTAACATTATCATCATGATTCTATATTTCTCACACTCCAATAAATGTAAGGGAAAAAGAAGCTATCAATAAATACTTGTTGATCTGAACAGAATTTCAAACCAAATGAATGGGAATATCCAATGAGAGTTATCACTGGCCTATTTTTATCCTCCTCCTGAGGCACATTTCTCCTTGAAAAGAAGAGATCTTGACTAGAGGCAGACTATAAGTGGATGAGCAAGGAGCAGAAGGAGAGCAGAGAAAGTAAGCTAAGGAAAAAGCTTAGCTCATCAGCATGGGGAGTAAGCAAGCTGCAGTCCATTCAAGGCAAACATTTAACCCCAGGTTGTACATTTGCTGCAGTTGCTGAACAACTCCCGTGAGATCCTTCTCCTGCCTCCCTGTCACATACAACTACATGGGGGGAGCAAACCAACTATTATATTAGGCGAGTCAGTTTGTGATGAAGGTGAATGAAAATTGAACCTGGAAGATTATTTTAGTGGCTTTTTTGTTTGTTTGCTTGCTTGTTTGTTTTTAACACAATCCTTGCTCTTATCTTGCTTTTTTTTTTTTTTTCTTGGTTCTAGGGATTGAACCCAGGGGCACTTTACCATTGAGCTACATCCTCAGACCTTTTTTATTTTGAGACAGTGTCTCGATAAGTTGCTTAGGGCCTTGATTAGTTGCTGAGGCTGGCCTTGAACTTGTGATCCTCCTGCCTCAGCCTCCTGAGTCACGGGATTACAGGCATGTGCCACCATGCCCAGCCTTAGCTTGCTTTTTAATCATTTACATCCTTCTCCTAAAAGCCAAGAGTAGGGGGAAAATTGAGAACTAAAGGATCTAGCAGCTGAATTCAGGGTAACTAAATTCATACATATCACTAGCTTGTGGGTTACTCTCTTTTCCATTGCTCCCCTTCACAGAAACACATAGTCAAAAAGTGAATTCAGAAATGAAGATCACTGCCACCTATTCAAGACCAAAGGATACAGGAGAAGCATAAGGCTTTGTTTCATGAACAAGACAAGTGAAATCACTACATTAACAGAAAATAGCCATCTTCCTAGTCACTGCCCATCCCTAAGAAAACTTCAAAAAAGCAAAGAAGTAATATTTCCAGGACTCAAACTACCCTGAGTATATAGTCTCCAATCAAAATCTTAAAAAAAAAAAAAAAAAAAGCAGAAGCTGGGAGCATTAGTGCATACCTGTAATTCCAGTAACTTGAAAGACTGAGGCAGGAGGATCGCAAGTTCAAGACCAGCCTCAACAACTTAGTGAGACCCTATCTCAAAATCAAAACTAAAAAGTGCTGGGTATCTAGCTGAGTGATACAACACCCCTGGGTTTAACATCCAGTACAAAAAACAAAAAGTATTGTTATAAGCCAGGCATGGTGCTGTAATTCCAGCAATTTAGGAGGCTAAGGCAGGAGGATTTTACGATGGAGGCCAGACTCAGCAACTTAATGAGATCCTGTCTCAAAATAAAAAATAAAAAGTACTAGGGATGTAGCTCAGAGGTAGAGCACCCCTGGGTTCAATCCCCAGTATCTCTCACTCACACACACACACACACACACACACACACACACACACAGCAGAGCTATCTGATCAGCTACCAAAGGGAGTTTATTTCTTTTTATTAAAGGAAAATGGTATAGAACAAGTGGAACAGCCACCAAAAAAATTTCAAAATTAATGCTGCTCCCTTGCACAGAAGGATCCAAGCTTAACCAAGTACAGTTCCAACACCTGCTTGTAAACCAGACAAAGGACAACTTAGATTTTGAATTATGCTATGCTATCAAGGATAAAGGTCTCTGTAATCTCCACACAGACTATCTTCTGCACCTGCTAGAACAATCCACTCTGTATGTCAACAAGTATACAACAGGCTCATTGTACTGTTCTCCTCCAGAGATGAGGCTACTGGCAGACAGTTGTCTCTAGTGAGTGGGTGTGACTGGGAAGGCAGATGTGGGACCAGTAGGCCTTTCTACTCCAAGTAAGAGGAAACTTCGAAAATCGGCAGTGATTGTGAATTACAACTGATAGTGTTGGCTTTCAAAAATTTATTTTTTAAAAACTCTTCCCTAGCCGGATGCAGTGGTCACAACTGTAATCAGTGGCTCAGGAGGCTGAGGCAGGAGGATTGCAAGTTCACAGCCAGCTTCAGCAAGTGCAAGGACTAAGCAACTCAGTAAAACTATGACTCTAAATAAAAAATTCAAAATAGGGCTAGGGATGTGGCTCAGTGGTCGAGTGCCCAAATTCAATCCCTGGTAAAAAATAAAAATAAAAAAAAACCTCCCTAAGTCCCTAAGCCAGGCATGGTAGCATGCACCTGAAGTCCCAGGTATTTGGGAAGCTGAGGTGGGAGGATCACTTGAGCTCACGGGTTCAAGACCAGCCTGGCCAGGGGTAGTGGTGCATACCTATAATCCCAATGACTCAGGAGGCTGAGGCAGAAGAATCGCAAGTTCAAAGTCAACCTCAACAACTTAGCGAGATCCTATACTTGGAGAGCTCTTGTCTCAAAATAAAAAATAAAAAGGGCTGGGGATGTGGCTTAGTGATAAGCTCCTTTGGGTTCAATTCCTGGTACAAAAAAAAATAAAAAACCTATGGTGGAAGGATTGAGGGGACATGTTGGTCAAAAAACACAGAATTTCAGTAAGGGAGAATAAGTTTAAGAGATCCAATGCACATCATAGTAACTACAGTTAATAAAATTATTATATATTTTAAAATTGCTAAGAGAGATTTGAAATGTTCTCATCACAAAAAGACAAGTGTGTGAAATAATGCATATGTTAAATAGCTTGAGTTAGTCATGCACATCAAAACATTGTGTTATCCACCAAGAACATATATAATTTGTATTTGTCAATCAATGCCCCCCTAGGTTAATCCCATGATTGCAGTAAAATGGAGGTTAGCCTCCAGCAGGAATAAACTATGTGAAGATTTGGTGGTAATTCCCAAAAATAAGTGATGTTTGTGTATCTTCAAACATCACTAATTTGTCTTAGAGAATGACCAGATTTGTCACCAATGAATTTAAGTTAACTGGTTTTGAAACCCCCTAGTACTTTCTTTCTATATCACTTCTTGGAATAATGATATCCATACACTTCTGGAAACAAAATTTTCTTTGTTTTCCAAGTACCAAGAGGCCTTTCTTCCTCCAGGGGATTAGAAGTTCCAGTTATCCCTTGTGAATTTTATTAATGCAATCACGTCCCCACTAAGTCTTCATTTCTGCCATCTAAAGAGAAAACATCATTTTAAGTCATCGTCTACCAACTTCTTGACCAGCCTCAAGCTTCCATAGCTGGGCTAGACAACTGGATTCCCATATGTCCCTATGGGCTACATGGTGGTAATGATCAGCAGTAACCAGCAGTGCCAGGCTGGGCTGGTACGTCATGTCCCATCCCCCACTCCTAGCATGCTAATTCATTGAAGTGATGATGATAATGACACAGACTTCAATTCACATGAAAAAAACTCAAAAGAGATTCATGAGTGGAGCTGGTAAAGAGACCAGATTCCATGGCAGGGCTATGCCTCACAGACTGGCAGTCTAAATTGGTGTTCTATAAAATATTCTGCTTCTAAGTCTCCCTAATAGCTTTCTTGCTATGATTTTTATGTTTTGTTTGTTTTTTTATCAGTGCAATCAATCAGCCAGCAAGTATCTATTGGT